GGGAATGAATTGCTCCTTCAGATAAAAATGAAAACATGAAAATCGGCTGAAAGAACCGGGAGTTATGAAATTTTGAAAATGGTGCGAAAGAACTTTCGGGCCAACCTAATATTTTGAATTTTCAACGTCAATTTCTGAAACAGCTGTTTTCTCCCTTTAGCATTTGATTGCACTTGAATTATGGAGTTTCGCAATCCTATGCGATATGGAGTGCAAAATCATGGGAGTAATAGATACCACCCAAGCGCGTCTTCTCTTTCATTCTAAACTATCCAGCTTAGGCTTTTGCGGCTTCAGCCTGACTTTATAAAGACTTGCTTTTGAAAGATCTTGTGAACCGGAAAAGTCTGTTGTGCTCGGGGCATTCTCTAACGAATTTTTTATCTGAAAAAAGTGGAAATATTCATTTGCTACATTGTTACACTGTACTTCATACGACTGCCATGCCCCAGTAGATGTGTAATTATACCCCACTTTTCAAATGATATTAGCAAGAAGTTTCAAATTACAAGTAGTGACGCATCAAACACACCAAAACATTTTCTCATTAACTCTAAACAACCATTTTTTAATTGGTCTCTATTCAAGTGTCTATGCACTGATTAAGTTCAAAAGCGCAACAAAGCCTGATTAAGGGTTCATTAGTAGGGCTACCCTGTTCCTAACATTTACTGCATTTTAGCATTTGTATTGGAACACAAATGCTCAGACTGGCCTAGCTTCAGGTCTCTTTGTTCTAAACTTATTCTAATGAGAATTGTTTCTGTAAACTTTTCCCTGTATTACTTCCAAATTTCAATTGGTGTAGCTCACTGACATCATATTGAAAGGGTCCCTTTTGCGAGCAAGGGCCATGCTCATTTTTCTTCATAACCAAAGAGTTATTATGTATGCATGCCTATACAATGCAGTTCTCTGTTGCCAGTTTGTCATCCTCCGATGGTAAAACGTTGGTTGGCCAGGCGGCAATTGAATCTCTGGTCTCACTGCTTAGCACCGCCCCAACGATGTCATCGTCTGCTTTTCTGTCTCAGAGAAACTCAACTGTAAAACAGTCCTAACGCTTCAGTAAACAAACGCTGATCTACTGGATATTACACCTTGACCAGTATACAGTCATGTATATGTGATTTTGTACCAGATTTTAGGAGACTGGTGAGTTCCGTTTTGGCAAGCAGCAGACAATACCCACTAAGCGCTTTGACATAAGCTTTAGCGTTATTGACGGACGGAATTGCTTTTCAACAGGAAACAAAGTTATCACTACCTTGATAATTTCAATTCATGCTCTGACGCATTTGTTCAACGATTCAGTAGATGCTAGCTTCAAAAATCCCGTTCCTTTTGTAGATCAATTGTAATGATTCTCAAATGTGAATGAGATAATATTCTTTTCATTTTTCTCCGCAATCTTCGCACAATCAAGCAGTTCAGTATCAGCAAAATGAAGGTGCGTGGGCAAACACGCATTCCGAAGAATTTCTGGCCCATAATCCCCAAAACCTAGAGAAAGTTGGTTGCTGCAGCCACGCTCTCTAAGAAAATCCTTTACAAGGCTAATTTGTGTTTTCAAAAATTCAAAGATTGTTTGATTTACAAGAATAAACAATTCACTTGCACATTTTTACAACCCATGTAAGTAAATTTTAAAAATTTCGCGACCCATTCTGGGAAAGCGCGCATCCTCGCCCTCGCTCTCCCCTCCCTCCCCCTTGGTCCACCACCGCCGCTTACCTAGCTAATCTTTGCGGTCCCTCAACACTTGACTTCCGCCTCTAATAGAGGCAATGCCTTTTAATTTCATGATGGAATGCATGTTTGTTCAGACTCACGTTCTTATGCGAGTTAAAGTATCCGTTTTGCGTTCATAAAGTATGTAAACATTTTCAGTATTAAATGCATAGTTTATGTCTTATACCATACTTTGTTTAGAGTGTATTGAAGGTCTACCGCTTTATAAAATCGCATAATATTTCCTATCTTTAACGACACTCAGTTTTGATTTTGTCTATATCTGCGTTTTCTGTCAACGAGGAACTTAGAATAAGTATACCCCATTGAAGGATGCTGACAAAGCTAATTGTTTTGGCAATTTTTTGGTCATTAGGGGGAAAGAGGTGCAAAAATGAGTAAGAGTTCAAAAATGACAAGATCAAGATGCCGTTTCAATCCAGTATCCAAGGACTCATCAAGTGCTTGCATCACGCTTACGTTAATCAGCGTCCATAGTTGCCATTGCTGGAACCTTGCTCATTCAATAAAAGGCGTGCTCGTGGGCCCCGGCACGGCGCTGACACAGCCCTGGCACACAGTACAACTTTGAAGCAGCCAAGGATTTGTGAAGTTACTATCCACAGCATGTATTTATACCTTAACTCCAAATTGTATGAAAATGCACCTTCGTCCAACATTAACCGTACTACTGCTGGGGCCTTGATCGATCAATGATTGTCACGTGCACGTGGTTCCGGCACTGCGCTGACACGGTGCCGGCACCTCCAGCACAACCGATATTCTAAACGTAGCTTTAGAAGTTCTGTTGTTGCCACACTTACACTATGTATGTATTCATACGTTGACCAAGAATTGTGTCACAACTCATCATTATTTTTCGCTCTAAAAAATGAAATAAAATGGAACACTGGTAAAGACTATCTTAGGGTCAGCTTGATGTTAGAAAAAACAGAAAGCAAACATGGAAATCTAATAATATATAATAATATATAATCCTTAGCCGTATTTCAAAAATGGCAAAAGTGGGAAACCGCGCGGCGGTCCCGCAGCGACAAATGGAACATCTAGGGAGTTTGACCCGCGAATTATCAACTTTTGAATGCTTTCGACAAATTTTCTTGTAATTTCTGTTCATTTTCAATCATCTCATTCTTGTTCTTGTTGTCTCTTGCTCCAAATGTTGTCCTTCTACTCACTTAATAATTGGAGTAGTACTATTATTCTTTGGTACCGAAAAATATTTGCTAGTCGAAGGTGAAAAAATGAAATGACTATCCAATATTCTGCCATTACTGGCATTTTGATACGAATTTTTGCACCTTTGATTTTAGCTGTCTCACAACTATTCTAAGCAATGAGCTTATTAACTATCTAAAACGAGAGTCGTTAGAAGAATCTCATTTGGCGAGTTTCATATTACAATGCAAAATGATTCTCGTTACCATGGCTTGTCCTGAAATGGGCTATGCCCATAAATCGTATTTGGAAAAAACGCGAAGGAACGTCGGAGCCCGACAATTTCTCGTTATTACAATGATTTGTTTCTATTCGTTTTTGATTCGGTTTCGGGCCATCTTGCTTTGGTTAATATTTTGGAGCTATCTAACAACTTCTAAAGCTTCTCCTTCTACAAACTCAGAAGACAACTTTTTTTTCGCGCTCCAAGCTCAGTGCTTTCAAAAAATCAGCAGAATCAGGTAGGTTGACTGGGCCGCAAGGATTTGAAAAGCTTAATGGGCTTTAAGTCCAATTAATCGACTTGTAAGGAACAAATTTACCTAAAAAATAAAATCTAGTTGAAATTTTGGATATTCATAATTTAACTAATAATAATAATTTAACTCTTGAAAACAGGGAGCGGCTATCTCCACGCATTTTTTTCGAAAAAAATTTTCAGAGATGTAAGCTTGCGACAGAGCACCTTTAAAATTTGCAAAAAATTGCTGTTGACTTTTCCAAGAAATTTGCGACCGCCATTGCTAATTCCAATCGGATCAACCATCAGCCATTATGACAGAAAAATGAAAGAGATCAATTCTCACTTCACTCGAGTATTTCTCAGGAAATTAATGAGATTTTTTTCATTGCAATAAAAGATGATGAATTTGCATAAGCAGCCATAAGCAATTCATAAAGCTCAAAGACAAAGAATCAAACAAAATTTTATTACCATATCATACGAAAAAGAAGTTTTAAGAACTCAAATGACTTCTTTGCGTTTGGGAATAAATGATGAAAGTGATTTTCTTCCAGTACCTATTCACAAACAAAAGGAATTGTGTTTTCAGAAATCTTGATACTTTTCTAAGGTGCTTATTTACATCTTGTTAAAAATATAGCTGTGACCTTTTCTTGCTATCTTTATCTGATCCTCTCCGTTTTTTCTTCTTCTTTATCCATCTACGACATAAAAACATCTCGATCTCTTGAAAGCTTTTGATTCTCGTTCTCTAGAACATTCTGCAGCATAGAATTTTCCAACTAATTTGTTATCTAATTTTCCAATAACAATGGAAAGCAATTTCCAAAACAAGCAGCAAAATGGTCTCTATAAACTTTCCTGCTCTTCCCATATGTCCGAATTTTACAACAAGGGAAACAGCCTTCAAATACGACATTTCAAAAAGGTCATACGACGTATATGAGTCAACTTCATGCATTATTGCCTCAGAGAGAAACTTCATATACATCCGTATGTTGACTCTGAAATTCGACGCCTGGATTTGGGGCTTATTCTTTGAAACAAAAAATATCTGAGAAGAATGGATTTTACTTGCCCACGTGGTGCATCAGCACAAACTACAATTTTCAAAACATCGGAAAAACTTCGCACTTATGCAGCTAAATGGATGATTCCTTTCCCATATAGAATATTCTATTCCAAAAGCGGTTTCAAAAAGAAATTTTTGCTCCATTTTCTTGCAGCAGAGAAGAAATCGAGAGTGTTGATAGAATTTCCTTTTTTCTACGTATCACGTCATCCCAAATTCCACATATTCTTCAGGATTCCCGTGGGAAAGAGAAAATTTCGTAATGCATGAAATTTCCTAACATTTTTCATAGTTATGATGTTATGTATTTTCGCGACTTGCATCTCAGATCCGTTTTCCTTCCGATAACAAGATCGCTCTTATCCAATTCCGCCTCCCCACCACATCTTCTGCACTTCTCGTCTACGTTGATGCAAAATTCTACTTTTCTGACTATTATTATTTATTCGCTTATAGAATACAAGTTGTCCAGAAAGCAGTCGTATTTCCGGAGACATGAATGCCCTATTCATACTCGTCACATTGACTTTGACAGTAAGTATCCAATTTTTTTTCAAAACGTTACCAACCGTAACCGGATGAAATTAGGCAATTAAGCTTGCGTCATCGAAAGCAATTACATTTTCATTATGGTAAAGGGAGCGATTAAGATAATGATTCGTTTCTGTTAATCTTATGATTTAGAAATTTTCGTATTTAGGTTGCAACCGTCGCGCAGCAGCAACAGCTCATGGATGCCCTTTTTAAAGACTACAAAAAGGAGCTGAGGTAGGGAAAGAAAGGGGAGGGAAAAAGCTTGCAGAAAACGGGAAATGGAAAATAGAAAAACTCGCACAAAGAAGAGGCATCAGATGCTGGCATTATTCGCTAACGTCACTCTGCACCACGAATTTAAAACACTGCAGCAAAAAAAATTCCACCAGTATGTGGGAACAATGGCTCATAGTAAAGCTCGTTCAGCTCAGATGATCTGAACTGAACGACTTAGTTGAGCTGATCTTACGAACATCGTTCATGTTAGAGCAATGTGACCTGATAGGTGAGCGTCCGGGCAGGTATTCCGTTGAAGTCACCTGACTTCTGTGAGAGGGCGTCCATTTTGAGATGATCTTACGGAAAAGAGCAAACAATGATGCATAGGAAAAATATTCCGTAAGTTGCTCGTGAGTAACTTAGATGTTACCTAGTACAACATAATGACATATTCAGCACAACACTGCACAATCTCGGGCTTTGGGGCAAGAAAGACTTAGTGAACAGCTGATTTCAGCAAGAATGGGAAAAGGTTTTTCTGCAGAGAGAAACTTCATTTGAATTTTCTTTTTCAAGAGAATTGCTTTATGTACTTGAAATTCCGATAGCGTTTCGCAAAAGATTGGATTTAGACTTTGGTAGGTGTTGAGTAGCGGCGCAATCTATAGCTATGGTCTACTGTTTGAGAAAAGGAGAGCAAAGGAATGGCGCAGTTTTATGAGGCCGGTTACGACCTGTTGGGATCAATGATCAGCTTAAAGGCAGCCTCCAGGCAAATCTGAACGTATGGGGATTTCAAGTGGATAGTAATTTTAGGGTTCTAGGACCCCGTGGTCCTAGGGCTCCAAAATGTGATCGCGTGGCCCCGAGGACCCACGCGAAACTGATGGGTTGCGCCATGAATCCATGCGAAATTCGATCCTGGGGTCCAGTTTCGAGGGGAATTATCTTAGTCGTTATCTTATCTTATCTTGCCGCTTGGGCAGTGCCTTAGTTAGTGCCACAAAATTACTACCCACGTAAAATCCCCATAGGTCCAGATTAGTGCGGACCTCTGAGTAAACCATCTAGCCGCAGGGATGTTAAATCGTTACCAAAGTAATCTGGAATGATCGACGCATTGTAGAGGTTGGCACGCATCAGTCCTCTTCGAACATTAAGTGATGCGCTTGTTGCATGTCTGCACAGGATAAAGTGTGCATTGCCCGTTATTTGTGAATTAGCGCTTTTTAAAATTAAAGTGACACCTGATTTAATTACAGTTCTAGAGGTTTTCTCTGTGAATGAGGGTAAACAACCAGCAAGTTAAATGCGTCTATTTAAAGTTACTTAAGGTTATCCTGACAGCGCTTTGCAGACTCTCTGCTATTCGAGTGGCGCTTCGAAGAAATAGAGATTAATTTTTTTGAATTTCATCCGAGTTAGTGCTGCTATATTCCAAAGTCCCTGTACAAGTGACAGACCATTTGAGAGGGTTTCCAAGCTCTTTTAAACGTTTACTTAAATCAACGAAAATTCTCTATTGTTCTGCATAAATGAGGCAGTTTATCTGAAAAAGAGCGATAATTGGATCAGATTTCTGCGAAGAAATCAAGTTCTGAAAACAATTATTTGAAAATAGAGAAAAATGAGTTAGACTGCTTTTGCATGGATAGAGCGTAAAAAGCTTTACCGGGGCCGGTAGTAATCCCCCCTACCTGGCAGCAGGTCTCGTCGGCAGGTCGCCGGCACCTTTTCCGTAGGTGGCCAGAAAGTGAAACCCCAAATTTAGGCGGTTCCGGGCCTATTTCCAAAAAATTTTCTCTATAAAGATGCCGCCTAGACTCTGTAGAAAACTCCATGGAAATCTGCGGTTTTAGAAATCCTCCTGTGGGCAAATATCTGGAAGCGCAGAAGGAGCTGCCGGCAACTTCGCGATGTAAGTTGCCGGCATCCCGCCGGCAGCTCGTCGAAATCCGCGAGATGGCAGCTGCCGGCAGGTCAGAGAGCACGGGAAATAGCGTGCTCTTTTGAGAGAGGGAGGTGCCGGCATCTCGACGTGCCCCTACCGCGTCGAGGTGGTGGCACCTTTGCCGACGGCGTCTGCGAGTTTGCGAATTGCTGCGATATCACACAATTTACGTCAGGCGAAAAAATCAAAAATTCTACTTTTCATCAAAAAACTATCACTTTTCTCATGTGAGCTTTTCTTTTTTAAAACGACGATTTTCTTACAGAGAAAAAATCCAGTAATGCCTTAAAATCATAAAGAACATCATCTTTTCTTGCAATCCCTTATAAATCTCGTTTGCACTGATTTCGCCCCTCTCTCGCTCATATCAATCAGCTGTTCTTCTAGGTCAAAGTCTCTCACGCAATGCATCGATCCCTCTTACAGGCAGCCATTTACCAGCCCGTTCCTCCTACTGCTGGTGCAAACGGCAATGGTTGACCGAATGGTCGAATGGTTAAAGGCAGTGTCTCACCAAAATTTAGTTGCCGAGATTTTTACATTTTGCAAGCCTGTCGGACCCTGTCTAGCACTTTATGGGCTTGAAATCGCACGAAGTTCCCAAAAACCCCGTTTTCTGGAGGCCCCGCGGAAGCAGTGTGGACGAGTTGTACCTTCTAACTTCAGCCTCAGCCACAGTGGCAGCAACAGAGGGGAGGTGGATGCCAAGTGGAGGGACATGTTCAAACGCGTAAAGGGGGAGACCGAAGGAGTCGTCCGCGCGTACCAACTCGCTCTCCGCGTACCACTTTGAACGAATTTTTCTCAGCGTGGAGGGGGTCAAATTGAGTGGGACTTGTTGCAGTGGCCTATTAGGGGTCCCTATAATAGAATATGTGAAAATCCGCGCGACCTCAACTTTGGTGAGACACTGCCTTTAACATGGTGGCACTTCAAGTTAACGCACATAGGTTCGATCGCGCGCGAGGCAACAGTTTTGCGGCTGTCTGTGTCATCAAAATTTAATGTGCGAAATGATTGCGTGCTAAGGTTACATAAGATCATTAAAACCTACAATCACTCCGCGAGCTGCCGGCGGAGTTGGCGTCTTTCCGCAATGTGTGCCAACTTGCCGGCATCTTTGATGCCACCGGGTAGGGTAGATTACTACCGGCCCGGGTGTCTACCATCAAAGGTGAGCTCATTCGATTACCTTGAAGAGAATAAATGATATGTCTCCTACTACTAGGACGTTCCGGAAGTTCTGTCCGACTCGCAGATTTCCTGATCAAAAATGTTATAACTCTTTCCAAAATTGACATCTTTGAACAAGTTAAATTTTGTTGAGTTAAGCGAGTTTATGTTTATCACAAGCACAGTATGCCATGTAAGAGGTCAAACGAGAGAGAAAAGAAAATTTGGAGATTTCTGCAAAGTTCCTTTCGAAAGCGTTTTGTCGTACTAATGCTTCCATATAGAGATATGCAGACATATTTGGCTGCAATCATCAAGTAGCCTATATTTCAAATATTTTTTATGGCTAAAGAAATTCGAGTTATTTCTGCTGCCAGAAGTTTTACGAGAAAATCAGAAAAAATCCATTATTTGAGTTCTCCTCCGCGGGCTCAAATATGCCGACTTTTTAATATTCGATTTTTTCTCGCTTGCGCGAACGAAGGAAGCTAACTGGCCGATGATCTCCGTTTGCTCTCGCTTTACTCTATAATATGCAATATTGAATGCACCACCTGTCGTTATGTGTAAATTGTTGTTGCTTGCTGAATAACTGAGTTTGTCTTCTACCTTTAGAAGAAACTTGGAAAAGTAAGACATATTTTTTCCGGAGGAAAGCTTGCATATGTCAGCCCACTACACCCTGAGTCATTATAAAAGATTACATACTTGATTGCGGGAATACTGCGGAAATTCTCTCCATAGAAACTTTTTCTTGAGCATGACTGCATTTTGGCGACTTGGCTTCGGAGAGCTTGGACTTTCATCACTGAAAAGCTATTTCGTGAAGCATTAGGAAGCACTAAAAAAAGCAAGAAGTGCTTTCAGAAGACGTTCATATTTCTGTCAATAAATGCAAAACCTCAAAAGGATAGCTGCGTTGCAAGGGGAGTAAAAATTCGGATAGAACTTTCGAAATAACCTAGCAATGCTATATCTTATGCTACAAAGCGTCGGGACAATTTGCGGCACAGATATTTTTGGTAGCCTCACTTCTGCTACTGCAGGTTGCTGCTCAAAGCTCAAATCATTTGAAGCGACAAACTTTGATTCCAAGTACTCATAAAAATAGGGCCAATACCATCTAACGACCTCGATCAGAAGGTTTTAATATGTAATAACATCTGCCAAAACTTGAGCGTGCAATTAATTTTTCTGCTTCAGAAACTGCATTTATTCTCTATTGTGCACTTTTGTTACCGTAATGAATCTTTGTTCTTAGGCCTGTCAAAACATTCGATTCTGGACCAACGAATGTCACTGTGCAGCTCTACTTCAAACAAATCCAGAAAGTTCAAGAAAATGACCAAATAATAACTATCTACTGCTGGCTAGAAGAGGTATGTTCAGAGTCCTATAACGCTACATTTTTCACTTCTTCATCTATAACACAGCCGTTCTGCCTTTCCCTTTTTCACTTGCGTTTTTCCCCTGATTTCTGTATGTGCAAGCGGCTTCGGTTAGCATTGCAAGGCCTTGGATGTCTTTCAAAGCAGCAGCAAAACTAGAACCTTTCCAAATTTGCCTGCTAAATGTATCCATATTTTAGGACGTGCCTGTCTAGGCCATCATTTGGGTATACACAGGAGAGCTGCTTTGCGTACTGACGCGTTTTGATACCCTGGAAATGACAACAGTCTCATAATTAAACTGACATACTTTTGTCAAAGTGCTGAAATGCTGCCCACACCTTCTCTGTAGGAGCAATATGAGAAAAATCTGCCGATTTTTTCATGAATTTTACTATAAATATTGGGTTTATGGAAGGTTATTGGGCACTTACAGATTGTTTGTGTGAACATTGCTGAAAAAAAACCAAAGTGTGCGATCTTATAGACATCAGAACATATGAAAGCATTTTGAACGAAAGCAGCAAGGCCATTACCACGAGTCGGCAAAATATTATCGCTGTTTTTTTTTGAGCAAGAGTGTAAACTTTTCTTTCATTAATAAAACTTTATCTGCCCCACAGTAGCGTACCGAGTTTCCCCCTCCCCTCCCCTCCCCCCGAGAATGGATCGCGAAGTTTTTGGAAGTTACTTGAATCTTATATATAAAGCTGGATGTCTGTTTGTCTGTCTGTCTGTATGTCTGTCTGTCTGTCTGTACGTATGTTCCGAATAGAAAATTCCATTTCTGAACCGATCCGGACCAAACTTTGCACACGTACACTTCGAGGCCGGACGGGTGTCTTAGGCTACTTTTCGTCATCGATCGATATCGATTTTATTGATTTTTCAAAAAGTTCGAGCTACGGGGCTGGGAGTTGGCACAAGGGGGTAAGTGAGCATGCTGATTACGAATATATTATTGACAGGGCCGGGCGGAGCCGGGTTTGCCAGCTAGCGTGCTATAAAAATGTGCAAGCGACTCGTTTTTACTTGTAAATAATTAAAATTATTTCTGAAAATTCTAAAAATTAATTAGCCTTGTAAAAAAATTCTTTTCGGGGCTTGGCTCAAAGGCCCGCAAAAATTTGGGAAGCATCCCAAAAAAAATTTTTGGAGTGCGTGGCTAACGCCATCAGAAAAAAAATTTGGTCGTCCTCCCCCCCCCCCTGAAAATCCTGGGTACGCAACTGGTGCCCGCTATGTTTCACTCTTCATTCGTTATTCATGGGGAATTTTCAGTCTTTTTTGGTAAGAGAAACAAATCATGATTTTGAATTTTTGTATGTACTCTTTAATTCACCCGTATGTCATTTAACAAAAATCAACAACTTTTTTGTTTCAAAGTATCTTCCAAAGAAAGCGCAAAAAGCCTACTAAATGAAATGCCAGTATATGATCTTATTGCTAATTGTCACTGAATATGATTGAATTCAAAATGAGGAGAAATTTTATGGCTTTGATAAGGTTACAAAAAAAGAGTAATTACTAACGATTCGAACGAAGAATATGTGTATTTGTTTTGATTGAACGCAAGCGAAGGATTTTGACAAAAAAACGATCAATATGTACTTCAGTTGTTTGTTATCGTTTACTTGTAGTTTTGTTTCTAGTATTGGTATGATGAATTTCTCACATGGGATCCAAAAGAATTTGCGGGATTGACGTCTTTGCATGTGCCAGCGGATATGATTTGGAAGCCGGATCTGCTTGTCTATAACAGGTACATTTATATGTCCAACTTCTTTCGTCAAAAATAGTCTGCTCAATTTCTCTTGAAGATGCATGCGGAAAAGTAAAGTGCAAGCTTATAATTGAGAAAATGGATAGTTTTTGATGGAGATAGTATAAAAGGAAAAGTTGGTAATCAGAGTGTACTTGCAAGTTCTTTGAGAGCTTTTGACCTTTTTAGAAATTTTTGGAACATGGACATCTGCGCTCGCAATTATTAGCTCGTTCTGAAAGTAATGTCGCTTTTTTCGAATGAACGCCATATTTCATGGAATCAGCATTTTCATGAGTTCTTAGGAGCATTCAATGCAGCATTTCATCCTCTTTCTAATGGTTCTAATTTCACTGCATAATGTTCAATGAGCTCTCGAAAAATTACCAAAATCTGCGACACATGCTTTTTGCCATGGTCAAGTTCGGCTATTTTTCTAAATTTTTGTACCTAATTTCCGAAAAAGTACAAGTGGCAGGTAGATAGAGCAAACACTATAGTACATAGAGTAATTTTTTCTTTTCCTTAGCTTGCTTCTCAGAGTTTCTACAATCAATTTCTCAATGCCATCAAATTCTATATTTAGTCAAGTCAAACCTCACAGAACAACAACCGGCAAGCGACTCTGGTGTCATTCGATGCAGCTTTTTCTCCTCTTTCTAGCGGTCGTTTTTTGTTTCCGATTCATCAAGTTTTCCGGGATAAAATCATCATAATTCAACTTTTCCAAGGCACCCCAAGGTGTACCCGAAATTTTCGAAAGTTGCTAAATCGAAGCGGTGAATGCTCGTTGGTTTTAAAATTGTTGCCAAACCATAATCCATCTTTGTAAGTTTCAAAATCCGGAGACTTGTTGGTGTTTTGCACTTGTGTCTGAGATCGAGCCTGCTAAAATTCGGTGGTTCCATCAAAAAATTTGTACAAAAATTATGACGAGCTCTGGAAGGTAGAAAAATGTTGTGCTGTTTCCTGTAGGGTTTGCTCCATCCATCCATTACTTGGACTCCTTCTGAGGTTTGATATAAAATTTTAGAAAAATTGTGAAACTTTGCCATCTCAAAAGGCATAGGTCGCAGATTTTGACTCTTTTCTGAAAGCTCATTGACTATATTGCAACAACCTCATAACCATTAGAAAGAGAATGAAATGCTGCACCAAATGCTATCAGAATCTCTTACACACCTTTGTTCCACGCGGTGTGGCATACGTTTGATAAAAGCGACATTACTTTCGGAACGACCTAATATTTCATCAATGAATTTTTTTAACAGGATAAATCTACGGCACTGTGTACTGTACAGCGTTGAAAGGATCCGGGGGGGGGGGGGGTTGAACAGGGACGAAGACAAGCCTTATGCGGGGAGGAAGGGGGGGGGGGAATGGCCACAAGAACTGACTAAGCGACTCACTCAAGCGGATTCGAATTCGCTGAATGTGGGCCATTTTGGAAGAGTTATGAAGTTGTTCATGTTGATTTGGAGCCATGCTTAATCAACTTCCATTGTGCTATCTTGCTGAAAGCACCAGTCTCTGCTGGAAAATAATTTTAGTCCAAGTTAAAACTCCTTCAGAATGCTATGGGAGCATGTAGCGGCGTCCACTTGATGTCCTGTGGCCAAAAATAAGCGGTATCTTGGCCTCGAAAATAACCAACTCCCACACCATCACGGAAGTCAGATGACCCCTTCATTTCAAGGACCGATCCTTTTGTTAGCGCTCTGAATCAGCATGGAAATGTTGCTTTGGAGTTGGAAACATGCTCAAAGGTGGAAAATTTTTTTGACGAAAAAAGTATGTCTGTTGGCGTGTTTTAAAGAAACGCTTCTACAGTCAATAGCACCTGTGCCACTTTTCGAAGCTTATATCAAGGTTCCGCCTTATGATGACGGATACGATTCTATGACACTTGACACCTCTGAAGCTCAGTCAATCTTCACCGTGGATTTCGGGGGAGGCGCTTTCGGGTGATCTTGTGTCCGAGAGCTCGTGCGATCTGGTGATCAGCCTTTTCTCTTCGCATCTTCACAATCAATGCTCGCACCGCGAAAGCATATCTCTGTATTTCTAAAACTTGAAGTTTGTGACTGCGTTCTTCCTATGTTCGGTATAGAATCTTTTACGTTTCAACGAATAGACGTCAAACTTTGCACATATACGTTTTGGGCACCGACGGAGAACGTAGGCTGCATTTTGCGAAATTCGATGGATTCTGTTTTATTGATTTATTCTCGTATTAGGGTGACCCATAATTTTTTTACCGTTTTTATTACAATCGTCTCTTTTTGAAAGACCAGTAAAAAATTAGAGGACATCCAAATATTTTCAAAAAAAAAAATAAAAGCTTATCATGCTTCAGCCAGGCATATTTTCATTGTAAACGGAGCGCTAGAGCTCACTGTAGTCTTGGGCTGGGTTCATACTGACCCCGAAGTTCAGAAACAGTTCCAGCACAGTACTCGCATGTGCGTCGGAACTGTGCTGCATGCGCTGCAGCGCCCGCATGCGGTGTTGAACGGCGCGATATGGCAATTTTAGACTTCCTTCATTGGCCTTAATTGTAAATTTCGCCCATCTTCTCATTCTCGCACCTTGCTTCTTCTTGTGATGTAGAAAATTACGATCTCAAAGCAGGATTCGAGAAAAAACTTTTTATGTCGTCTTGCGTAAGTTATACACTTTCCTGTGCAAGCCCCTTCTCCTTCGTGATTTTTTCTGTAACTCTTTTTCTGTTTTTCAGAAAGTCACGCATCCTCGATATATTCAGCTGTCCTAAGAGAGGACTGTTACGACCATCATGATTGCGAGAATCTCGATTTTTTTTGTGTTTTCATAATATTGGGTTTTGGACGTTTCAGCCCTATTCTTTTCACAACTTTTACTGCTTGCCCTCTCGTTCTTGACTACTTTCCCGCTTCTGATGAAAAAATCCCAATTTGGAGAAATGTACACGAATGGAAACGGCATCAATATGTGACAGTTTCCAGCTGATGCACAAGACGAAATCGCGCTCATTCTTGTACCCCCTCCAAGTCTGGAACTTTTTCGATCACAACCTCAAACGAGACACAAAAATAAGGTGAAAAAGAGCAAAATTTACCATAGAAGCGGTATAAGAATATCAAAAATTGTTATTTCGCGCCGCTCAAAACCGCATGCGCGCGACTGCAGCGCATGCAGCACAGTTCCGTCGCATCTCTAGCACAGCGCGAGAACTCTGCGAGAACTGTTCCGGAACTTCGGGATCAGAATTAACCCAGCCTTAAGATGACGAACTTGCGCTGAATAGACCTAGAGTTGTTCTAAGGTAAGCCATCCATAACTTAAAGGCAGCGTCCAGGCAGATCCGAGCTCGACGACCACGCCCACTTCCTTCGGACGGCCAACCCCTTATGAACGAAATCTCCTCAGCCTTGACGTGTTTTCACATGACCAATACAGTCGAACTTACAGCGTTTACCTGTTAATACTTGCTTTCGACAAGGATAACATCAGAAGCACTCGTCTGGGTTTTCCCAAAATAGCCCCAAAAGGTGGTTTTCTGAGAAATTCACGCTTTTTGAGTTCCATATTCGGAATCAGCACCATGGAAGGGCCTGGATAACATGAAAATATAGAAGTCGAGAATCTGTGTGGACGCTGCCTTTAAAGGGAGTGGGGCTTAGTGATTATGTTACGGTACAGTGCAGTAACTATGCTGGCAAACAATTACAGCACCACATCCCCAGTAAGCAATGCCTTGGGCTGGATCGGGAAAGTCAGACAGTTTCTGATAAAAGAACTTCTTACTCTAGTCTTTGGGCAGGGCATTTGCATAAGAATATAACAATGAGATACAGGCCTCTGCGTGATCGCGAGAGCCGTTGAGTTTGCGACCATTGCGCACGCAGGATGCCACACGGCCTCAAACCAGTTAAACAATCCCGCACTTCTCAAAATCATTTCAGGTAATTGGAAGCTTACATCCGATAGCAGAAAAGCTTTTGAAAGGATAAAGATAACTAAGAAAGCTGAATGCGCCCAGTAACTGCCAACTCACCGACTCTTGTGATCACGCAGAGCCTTACACAATAATCAACAGACAACAGCATTTAGAATAAAAGAGATAAAATGACATCGAAGTTTGTATAAGACTTTCGAGTGGACTCTGTATGCCTAACCTATGTTGAAGAACTTAGCGGAGATTTTCGAAATCAAAAAGTTTGCTAACAAAGGCGCCAACAACTTTCGCTTTTATCAGACTGAGTATCAGTTTATAGCTTTAGAAAACATTGGTAAAAAATTTAGTTTATTGCTCAGTTGCACCATAAGTAAGCACAAATGGGTCACAGCACAGAGTATAGCAAGGAAGAGGAAGGCAACAAAGAAAGTTAAATTAATATGTTCGGAAACAAATCAAGATCAAACGATTTCAGCAAAAAGCGAAAGCGAAAACAGCTAGTAATTGATTGTAGTAGTATGGGGTTAATTGGTGAATAAAGTCCGTTTTAGCGCAAATATGAACATACGAGAAAATGAACTGCAAACAAATGTGGAGATACGACACACCGGACACATCTCTTTGTTTCGAGCACTAATCACAGATGTCACTTGTGACTTACGATTGGAGCAATTCCCGTATGATCAGGTGTGTTTTGAATAGCTGACTGAGTCTCCTAAAAAGAAAATCTGACATTTTCTGTTTTGTTTAGTGCTTTTTCGGTAACACTTTGTCTATGCACCTTCTATTCATAAAGTGAATCAAAGCACGTTGCTGAACTATCTTCTACCTTGTTCATCATTTTCCAGCAAATTTGCTACATAATGCTAGCTTCGTGGTCCTACGATGGCTCACAAATTATGCTTTACACTGCGGAAGAACCCACAGCTGAGCCAAGTACGAATAAGTAAGTCTTTTGTCTTTTGCCAAAAATGTTGTTACACAGTCCGAAGTGGCTTTAACAATATTCGGAGATGACATCTAAAATGAACGGTGACTACCAGCTTTTCCTTTGGAAAAACAAAAACCGGGTAGTTAAGAGTAAAAAATTCAAAGAATTTAAACAAAGAACACTGAAGGTCGACTATACATTTCCCGGCGCTTTTTGTGAGGTTTTGTTTTTCGCTCACATCGCTTTCACAGAATGTCGAAACGAGGATCAGTCGAGAACTTGAAACACTTATGCAGTTTTTACCCCAACTTGGCATCGTCTTACAGCTCTATACGCTGCTGCATGACGGAGGCGCAATATCTTTGGGCGCGAACGCGGCTTCATTAGCCGCAGAGCGCATGAGGCGCGGAATTCACAACGGTGAGGATAAGCGCGCACCGCATTCGCGTTTGCTCAACTAATGCTTCTTCTGCGCCTTCGTCATGCAGTAGCCTTTACCTCTTCTGGGCCTGTAGTAACCAACCTACCTTCACCTCGCGGCAGATTTCACCCTCAACCCGCTGTAATGTCGACGTGAGGCCAACGAAAACGTCGGTCTCGCGTTTAGGTCCCTTAATACCCTTTCTGAAGCACGAAATTATTCACCTCATCACGGACTTTCAAAATTAATTACAGTATGTGAACCTATATCGACTGCACTACTATCTTTATCGGTTTTGATCGAATTCTTCCTTGCACACCTATACCGAAAATACGTTGTGATTTTTCAGGACAAACCTTGCTTCCCTCAATCACTACATACCAAATATGGAATGGAAACTGATAGACTTCAAGTATAGAAGTAATCTCAAGTAAGTTCGAGATTCCAAAAATGGGAGTACGCCGGCCGTTCATTGTAGCGTAAAAGCTTGAGATTGTGGCCATTGTCGTACTTTTTTACCTGCCTCAATAGTTTTATCGCCGGTATTCCTCCTGCTAATCTCAAGCGGCAACTGGTTTAAAATTGCGCTTACAATAGTTCACGTCTCCCTTTGCACAGCCTTTACTCATTTTGAGAAAGAAATTATTGGAAAATATTATTAAAAAATCATCCCCCAGTAATATTAGGTTGTGCAAAAGTAATGAGCTTTTTTGTACACCTTGTTTTAGGGCAGCTTTTCTCCATCAAGCTTTCTTCTGAAAAGGTTCAGCATACAGTTGAAAAGATCCTTTCATGCTCTATCTAATGATGGTTGAAGCAGGCTTCTAGCCTCATATGTTAAGAATTTATAGAGCTTCACAGATCCGTCAACATCAAAATTTCATTGCATCTACTTTTCTAGCTAAAATTCATGCGCGAGTGTTCGCATTTACTCGAGATTTTAGCTGATGTATGCAGAAGAAATTGCCTACACTATGTATTGCTAGCATTTTTTAAAATCATCTAGACAGAGATATCGATACCATAACAAGGGTAATAGTTGCGGCCATTCTGTGGCCCATGGATTTTCAATGAAGAAAGCATTCCTCAAACTTCGCGCGAAAACCTCTTACCCTTCAGTACGCAAAAAAAACAAAAATTCATAATTTGGGGCTCTGAGGCCTTTAGAAAAATGTTGAAAGAAGGTGACAATTTTAGTTCTTATTTTTCTTTTTCGAAGCCTTTCTCATTTTTTTATACTATTAGCTTGCGGCTACAAGATAGGCTACTTACCGTCTGTAGTAACAAGTTTTGAAGGGAGTTATAATACGTCAAAGAAGAGGATTCAGAAAAAGTCTTTTCCTGTCATTCAATCCATGCCCGTTTGTGATATGAGTATAGGTGACGTGCGCTGTATTGCCAAAGGAGCTTCTGATGGTCTTTATTGCATAGAAAAATGTGACTTCTTAGAAAGTTATAGTACCTCAAAACTCGCAAAACGCTCATTATTTTTGCATGAACCTAGTACATCTTATCACTCAACCATCATATAGCATTACACACAATATAAATCGGTGCATCCTTTTTGCTCGCATCGAGGAGCATTCAACGTATACTTGCATGGGGACCATGTTTGGTCGAAGTCGCCCTAGATGAGATGTATACCATATAGGGTAGCATAAAATGCTGAGTCCATTTCTGCCTCCCTTATCCGCGGAACATTGACGAGGAGCTATGAGGTTTTATTAGAGCAAAAAATTACATGTGCAAACAAGACCAAAATTGTATTAGTATATTTTCTAGTACGTAAATGGTGCAGTGATAATTGAGCACACTATTCAATAATTACTTTCAGATAAAAAAATATATCGCACTGGTTGCTTTTGAAAACTCATTTCCTAAATACATTTTTCTTTTTTTGCTTCAAAAAACGCCCATAACTCCTCGTTCACAAATATTCCGCAGTTAAGGAAAGCAGCTTCAGAATCAGTATTTTATGCTCTCCAATATGTTATGCATTTTCTATCTGGAAAGGCCACTTCGACTAAACATGGTTGCCTTACCAGTCAAAAACTCACTATAGAAAAACCTATGAAAAAACAGTAACTTGCGCCACGATATTGTTGGAACACCAACAGCAAAAGAATTCAATTCCAATGTCTTTTAAGCTCCAATAAAGAGTGCGAACAACATTTGACGTTCGCTTAAAACAATCCTTCACAAGTTGATTGATTTCTGCAATTTCAGATATTACGACTGTTGTCCGAATGCTTACCCTGACATTTCATACTTCTTCGCTATAAAACGAAATCCATCTTACTACCTCTTCACGCTGATTATACCATCAGCATTTATCACCATCGTCACTGTCGTCGGTTTCTTTACACCGCAATCATCAACTGGCGAGAATACGGAAAAGGTTAGTATACAGTCAATGTCAATTATGTACTCCCTTTCGCAAGGGAAGTACGCATGCGCAACGCAAGGGCCTTGCGTGCGGACCTCCAATCGATAAGGCGCGTTTAAATGTCCGAGTCATACGCGCGCGAACGCGGCGCGAAGCTCACTGCGTTTACGGAAAAGGGATCAAGTGATTGACACGGACTGTAGCTGGATAACAATATGGAGATGCTGGAAAGAAAATGAACATTAATTTCACTTGTTTGCAGTCTATAAAGTTTACTCAATCAAAAGAGTTTTATCGCAGAAAATTCGCCACAAAACACTAAATAATACAAAAATCTTATAAAAAAAACTTTCAGGTCAGCCTAGGTGTGACTGCACTGCTCTCTTTGGCCATTATACGTAAGTCTGACATCACCCCTTATCCGGTTTAATGATTTATCGATTTTTCAGTAATGATGGTATCAGATAAACTCCCAGCCACTTCCAATTCTGTACCATTACTAGGTAAGTGAATCAAGCTTCTTCTCTATTCTGTTCGTACTCTATTTTCACTCCAGGTCAATACTACATAGGATTAATCTTTATAATGTTCTTGGCTACGTACTGCACCACTATCACGCTAGGGATTCAGATGCAAGGGAATGCTGTGAGGAATTTCCTTTCATTTCCTCTGCTGCACTGAAATTCCTTTGCAGGGTCGTCCGATATCTCGAAGAGTTCGTAGCTTTCTACTCTCTATTCGAGTGAACAAGTCATCCCTACTACAGTGGTTTTTTGGAAAAGAGTTAATGAATACTCAAGAGACTATCAAAATGAGATTGAAGAAATACGTAAGCAATTCAATTACTGCTGATCGATCTAAGCGCGTTTTTTAGGACAAACTTTCTGAACTGAAGAAGACGTTTGCCTCGGATTTCACTAGCTTTCAGCAGAAGCTTCTCAAAACAGAGGACGGAAAGGTACTCAGTAAACACACTTGCTCTTCAGTTCAATTAAAAGCATTGCTCAGCATGCAGACGAAAAAGGATCATAGTGCTGAAACATAATAAAGAATAGCACAGATATAGAGAAATTGGAAAAGTTTCGCACCTATCTTCATACCGTTGAATTAATATGAACAAGTAGGCTAGCAGTGTATCAGACAACGGCTGGGTGAGCCAAGTCTAGAGAAATCCTTCTGCATCCTAACAAAAGCTTTGTTCGCACGCTAATAAGAATCATTAGAGATAGTACGTTTTGCTCAAGACAACGGAACATCACAGTTCCTGCTAACTGATCACTTTCAAGCACGCATTGAAGGCACTATCTAGACGGTAAAAGTTCAATCTAGGTCTTCGTTTATTTTGAGCAAAGATGTCTAAATTAACCAGAAACATGTGATTGATTTAGATTTTGAGGCAAGTCAACAATACAAAAGCAAAGATTCGTATGTCTCTACCGGGAAGTGGTATTAACGAAGGAAGCAATTCATAATACAGTCAGAATCTGCAGGGAAAAAGATCCAGAGATTTCTGAGTAAATATTAGGTTGTAAAGAAAGTTCTGCCAATAGACGCTGAGCTAAATTGTTTTATTTATACCTTCATCATGAGTGGCTATCATTTAGCGATATTTTGGCCATGTGTACTGACAACCTTAAACTACTGATTAGCAATGGCGTAATGAGGGGGGGGGGGGGCGCGCCCCCCCCCCTCGAGAATGGGTCGCGAAATGTTTGAAAGTCACTTACATGAGTTATAAAATTTGTGCAAATGACTTATCTGCATTTGTAGATAAACAAAATATTTTTTAAAATTTTTCAAAAATTTATTTTAGCCTTATAAAAAATTTTCGGGGGCTGGATATTGCTTCACCTAGCCAGCACACAGGATATAAAACGGATTTTCAAATCAAGCTTCTGGAAGTTCTGCGCGTTCATAACCTGAAAAATGTGCTTTTTCTCAGACCTGGGCGCAATGGATTTTTCTCCTTTTTTGGGCATATCTTCCTGAATGATCGTCATTTTTTCGAGGTAAATAGCGTGTTAGGAAGCTAGGGTCATCGCACACTAAGAACACATTTTAAACCAGCCCTTTGCATTTGCATTCATTTTTGGTATTTACGAGAAGAATTGGCAGAACTTTCTTTACAACCTAATAACATTTGAAATTCTCAACGAAAGTCTATAGAAGCGGAGTGTAATCCGACATCTTTCATTCAATGCTTGGCAACTATAGTCTGCCCCAATCGGGACCAGGCCGAACCGATGGCTGAATTTGCGCGCTCGCAGCGCTAGGAGTTTGGGCTGCATACGCGCGCTGTCGAAGAGAGCGAAGAGATTGAGGAGAGAGCAGACTAGCTTGCCGCAGTGACGCAATACCCTAGCGACGCGTACTCCCGCCACGCCAATTTTGGCCTGGTTGGGATTGGGGCAGACTGTAGATTGTCCTCAAAGAAACACGTAATAAATGAGAGATTAATACCAGTAGATTAACTTCCTGCGTTGACAGGCGAAGTAGTACAGCTATTTCCATATACATCCCATTCATTCATTCTTTGCATTCATTGAATCATTATTCATTCATTCATTCATTCATTCATTCATTCATTCATTCATTCATTCATTCATTCATTTATTCATTCATTCATTCATTCATTCCATTTCGTTCAACAATCATCGATCCTTTCCTTTCATTTGACTCAATCATTCTTCAGCATGCTAAATTACCATTGATCGATGAGGATACTCCTGAAGAAAGAGCTAAGAAAGTTGGAGATCCTATTCTTCACAATGTCGTCATTGATCTTCTGGAAACTGTGCAGTGTATAAGGCAAGAAATGTTGACGCAAGAGCATGTGAGTAGGATTCGAAAAGAGTGGCAAATGCTGGCCAGGTTGGTTAAAAATTTAACTTAAAACTTGATGCTCATCCTATGCCATTTATAGGCAAATTTTCCAAGGTTGAGAGAAAAAATTATCACTTCAAATGCTTTTCAGGATGCTGGAAAAGCTGCTTATGTGGCTTTTTATCATTTGCACTATAATCTTTGCAACTGTCATGCTTTACGATGCACAGGATCCGCCGATAATTACGGACGAGATAATGAAAGATCGGGCCAAGTAGAAGTAGCTGAAATCCATTACGCTATCATGCTGAATTGTTTCTCCTTTCTATGGATTTCCTTTAGGGCCATATTTGAAGTGTCACAGGCAATTTTTTGAAGCACTTAAGTGTCTTTTAAAGGATTACCTATCAATACCTATTCACTGTTTTAAAGTGGATTATTGATTAATCTAAAGTTGCTCTTGTCAAGGCACTGTTGAGGCAATTTTTACGCTCTGGGCCAGACCAACCTTCCATTAGGCGCTAACCTCATGCATTAGTACTGAAAGTGAAAGGCAGTGTCCGGGCACGAGCTGGGTTTTGGGATTTGAGTGCCATGCGAGAGTGGCCCCCCTCAGAAATAACATCGCGCAAGTGCGACGTCATAACGCTCAACCTAAAGCAAGAAAAACGATTAGAAAGTGGGGAAACTGGTGGGAGACCTCCCCCCCCCCCCGGTGGGGAGGGGTCCTCTGGGCTGTCCGAATTGCTGCTATGCGGCAGAGCATGCCGCCATAGTTAAAAAGTAGGGTCCCGCAGCGACTCTGCGTCTCTGCCTTGGTGGGACCGTCAAATTTCCAATTGTGCGGCTTTGGAAAACATATGTTCTCGTCGTTTTCGCGCGCCGTCTAATGTGGATTTTCGGATTCAGCGTTGCGGATAACCCCCGGTAAGTGGATTTTCTAAAAATCGAGTTTTTGCCCGGACACTGCCTTTAAAGGCAGCGTCACCCAAAATGGAGATTGGCGAGATTATGATGGTATACTAGTGTGGGCACACTAGGCAAACCCCCATGCTTCCCGCAAAAGACTGCTTCTGGAGCGAGAAATCCGCTCCGGAAGTAGCAAAGTAGGCGGGGCGACCATGGTCGCCGCTTGTTGCAGAGGGTTCTCGAAACAGGGATTTTTGGAGGTTTCGCGCACTTTCGACTCCATATTCGGAATCAGGGCTTTCAGAAGGTCTGAAGGCGACAAAAACATTGAATTCGAGATTTTGGGTGGACGGTGTCTTTGACCAAAATGCAATTGCCATAATGTCATAGTGCAAGATTCCCGCAACGACGTGCGTAAGCGGCTAGCGAGCTTAAAGGCTGGTGCATGACAAAGGCGCAGTACCTTTGGGCGCGAAAGCGGCTTCATTAGCCGCAGAGCGCATGAAGCGCAGGATTTACTACGGTGAAGATACGCGCGCGGCGCGTTCGCGCCCGCTCAACTTAAACTGCTTCTGCGCCTTCGTCATGCAGCAGCCTTCGGCATGCTCCGCTTCATTTGTTCATGTTCTTGATGATGGGCTGCAAGAAATGCTAGTTCATTCTCGCGCTCTCTACAAGTTTTCGGGCCTAGTTAAACGGATAACCCAGGAATGCGGAGACGGGAGTAAGCAACTGCCGAGTTAGTACTTTCAAATGGATTTCACGCACTAGTTTTGAGCTGACGCTAACCTATAGTGTGGCTTTCTTCCTTTCCTCTTTTTTACTTCAAAAGACGCGCAAGCGCTATTATTTCTTGGATTCCATCCATGAGAGGCAAAATTATCGATGTCAAGCAGTGCATTTATTTCCAGACCCTTCCACTCCATGAGTGTGGTTAATTAAATTCTATTAAATTTGCTCAACGTTAGAAATTTACGTAGTTGTGAGTGCCATATATCTTTCCTTATATGAACTAGATAAAAGTAATATACTGTCGCTTCTTCTCGCTTCCCAAAATCGTTTGCGAATATATATGTGTTTCATGTGTTTAATCGATGCCTGAGATTGCAGACATCAACCCCAATTTGCTGGTCATTCATAAAAGTTTTAACTTATCCGCAGTAATGGTGATAATGAGTATGAAGTAATTGTAAATAAGCTTCCTTTGATGTATGTGAATGTTTGTTCTCCTTAGATATCTGGCGTATTTGGTGCTGTGCTATCTTTCTATAAAAAATGAATTTTTGCCACAGAAACCCAATGTTACTATGTTATTCAGAACCCTTACAAAATTACCATGATGATTTTTCTACATCCTGAATTTAAACTAGTGTTAAGCTCAGAGATAAGGGAGATATTTGCGAAGAAAAAGAGACCACTTGCCTGACAAATGATGTCAGCAGTCGTATAAATCGTGCAAGTCACTCATTCTACAGGCTTTGTAGCCTACTTGCACGCGTTGTGCCTTGAACACTACATAAAGCGGTTGTCGAGAGGCACTATAAGCGGTCTCATTCATCTATCAATTTGCTTAACAGTCATGTTGTTTCCAGCATTAACCATCATGTTTTATCCAAATGTGTCACTTAAAGATTAAAAATTCATCTGAAGGAGGGCGCTTAGTATTGCTTGTTTAGCCTATCTCGCGTCGAAACCCAGCCGCGCCGTTGGTGTTAGAATCGAGGCGCGAGCAACTGTATTTCAAAAGGCCTATATATGGTAGATTTGGCCAATTCCAAGCTTAGAGTAGATACGCTCCTCCTTCTTGCAGATGAAGTAAAAGAAGTCGCCGTAGTTCTCTAAGTAAAAGAAGTCGCCGTAGTTCTCTATGATGAGAAAAGTGGTGCGAAACTTCATTTGGGACGCTATTTCCAAAACACCTTCGATAGCTGTAGAAGCTTTGGAAGGAGGAGGGGCTACGATTATACCGCGCGCTTTGCTCAATAAAAAATACCATTGCCACATTGCTACACATCGTGCAAGCATGGAGCAATAACAAGTGTGCTAACTACCACTGGAGGTTCGATTTGTTGAGACACTTTTGCGTAAGAGCGCCCCTCTATTGTAGACTTGCTACAAAGCAGAAGACGCATTCTGACAAAAAAAATTCTGTTGTAGTGGAGCACTCTAAAAGAATAAGAGTTATACGCTCCACCCGGCATCGGTCGCGAAAACCGACGGCACGCACGTCGCAGGCAACGAAGAAGTATTGCGATGCGCGAACGGGACAATGGTTGGATTCATGAGATTGGCTTAACTTGTCGTCTAGTTTGTCTTTATGTACACCTGGACAGTTAGCGTTCTGAGCATTTATTTCCGGCTTTTGATGCATGCGAGCATGTTTAGGTTGGTAAAATAATTGTGTTAATTTCCTTGATTCAACAAATATTCTGCACGGAGGTTTGAGGTTTTGCGAACAACACTAAAATTTTTATTTTACAAACTGATCGGAATACGGTGACTTTCACTGTTACTGTTGCCCGAGCTTTCCTCTACTCGAACAATGTATGATCATCTTGAATGTTAAGGCCCAGGCAAGATCACTGAAGGAAACAAAATGTTTGATTAAATAAACGACTACCGTCCGCTCTTGTGCTCCAGGTCTGTTTCCACCGGCGCACTCACAATTGCCTCATTTTGTGGATTCCACTACCGATGCTGGATGGTACAGACTATACTTGTCAGATTAGCGTACGACTTTACTGAAAAAAGCGAAGTAAAGGCGTTAATTAGCCGTAGGAAGAGTTCTATTGTTATCACAGATATGGAATTCTAGCTCAAGATGTTCACAGCAGAAAATTCGGAAATAAGCGCAATTTATGAATGAGGGAACCTCAGTGCAGTTCTCATCACAATTTCATATTCTAAAGCATTAGTTTTCGCATCCTCTAACTATCAAAAACTGTCATACGCATAGCCGGCAAGCGTAGGCACTGCTCCGCCCGCATACCTCGAGGAACGACAATACCTTATGTATGATTCATTCGTCGGTCAGCAATCAACGGATTCCAGAGAAAACTTCAATATGCGAGGGAGGAAGAAAACGTAGAAACTATAGATAGTGCAACCAGTGCTCTCCGCGAAGCAAAGGTGAGGCAATATTGACATACAATTCATCGATAGCGTTAAGAGGGTGTGGCCAAGGCCGTTGTATCAAAGAAGCGCTGCAGCGCAAGGTGGAATGTGGGGGGAGAGAGGATGGTGAAAAGGAGGGGGACGAGGAATAGTTACGGGACGGATAAAAGTCTGAAGGGCAAGTCTCTACATGTGGCGTGTCAAAATTTACTCTCTGCAAGGCTAATCAATCTATACCCTAGAGTGGGTGGCGTGGACCAGCTTGTGCTTCAGATATTTCCCTTCCAAAACCAATCGCGGAATCTTTATACATAGTGTTACAATTACTGTAATTTTTCAGTCAATATTATGCAGATTACTGGATTTGATATTCGAGTTGCTTTCTAAAAAGTACGTTCAAATGAGGAATTCAGTTTTGCTTGCGCTCAACTTTATCTCCACAGTTCTACCTCCTCAACAAACCCGCCTCCGCCATCCGATTTTTTCGGTGATTTTGCAGCAGCCTGAAAAAAAAATTAGTAGATAAACAATTTTAAATACAGCTCACACTAACCTTTGGAGGAATTTTCGAAGCTGGTGGAGGTGGAGGTGGGGGCGGAGGTTGGGCTGGTGCTTTGGCTGGAGCTGGAGCTGCAGCTGCGGCTGAAGCGGCTCCGTGTACGCAGCATGGACAGGGAGCAGGCTTCGTTTCGACTATCTAAAAGAAAAGAGTACAAACGTAGCTGTGTTTGCTATAGCGGCGCTTTCAACATACAACAGCTGGCTTCGACTCGTGAGGATGCGGACAAGGGCACGGTGCTGGTTGCGTGGCTATCACCTGCAAAATAAGGTGTTCCATGTGTTCTATGCACTCCCGTTACTAACAACTACAGTAGCTGCTTGAACATGAGCTTTTGGGGCAGCAGCCATAGCTGCCGCATCTGGCTCCACGTTAGACTCATCTGCCATGGATTGACGGATTCTAGATGCTAGTACTGAACATGAGGATGTCCATGTAGATTTAGCTCTTACAAATAACGTATATGTAGCTACTGCCCAAAATGTACTAACAGAATGAAATGATTCTTACAGAGTGAAGGTCCGCATATAAGTGACATGCTGAAATGATAACAGGACCATCGAAGATACTTGATAACATCGAGAAGCTTCTTGAACCTACTTCAGGGCTTTGCTTTTTGAGGTTCTCCGCTCGAGTTACGAAGAACATTCGTTCAAGCTGTCTGAAATAAGCAAGAAAGGGGTGCCAGAGCCGAAACCGGTAAGGCTTGCAGCAATGGTGGCAGCGCCCAAAAGGTGAGCGTGTTGGCAGGCAGAAGAAAAATCAGACATGACCGGTTTCGACTCCTGGGATCCTATTATCCTGCGACGTCATATTTATCTCTGTTGCAGCATCTTACATTATCTTGTTCTGAACTGGGAAGGAAGTGAACCAACCAGAAACGCAAAATTTGCGGGTTCAAAAATCATCCCATTGTAAATCGAGGATCGACATTTTTTCTTTTTTTATTAATTGTAGGCTCAAAGTGTTTCACTCAGAAGACCAAGCAGAGATGTTGATCATGTCATAAACTTGAACAGCGTTACCATACAGAATCAAACAGCCATGTCAGTTTGAGAGTCTCAATTGATTATCTTCATCCTTTTATATTCCTCTGTAATAAGTTCTCCATGCTCCCCTTGTGTTCTCGGTATATTCCAATGTGTCTTTTTGCATTCCTTGCCCTTCACACTACGGCTAATTGATGTAACGATAAAACCTCAGTAACAACTTGTGTGCAGAGAGGTCTTATATGTAAGCGTTACTGGTCAAAGTCGTCCCAACAAGCATAAATCCTTTATTTTATTTCAAATCGGAGATATCAAAACGTGCCCCGAAGTAAAAGAAAAGGCTTGTCTCAACGAACACGCAATGGTACGAGACCAAATTTGGTGCGTAGATCCGCTTGATACAAATAGAGGGAATCATTTATAAATTGCGTGGCAAACATTTTTCTAAGTCCAATGGCCTCGAGCCACTTTGCAAATCACTCAGATAAATTCTCGGCCCAGCGGTCTGCAAACACGGTACGTAGGCATTTAGTGTTGCCGGATCGTTCAGTTTCTGCTGTGTCATTGCTATGCGCTCGTCCGGTCGCACAAAAGCCGAGCGATCTGCCGACCAACACCGGCCGAGCGATCAGATTTCCAACCAGTTTGCTATATCCGTCGTTCTTGTCATATTGACAATATCCGAGTTCAAGTGTGTGGAAAGAACGAAACCAAAAAACTTTGTTTATCTCAGGTGTAGAGTGGAATCGTGTTCATAATCAAACCATTTGCTTAAAAATACACTACAAACATCGGAAGTACAACTTCCGCATCATAATCCTACTTATCACTCAACATACTCCTTTGATTTAGATGAGTTTGGATGAGTAGAAGTTGGCTGTTGATTGAGCGGCAGAGGACCCCGGTTTCTGATGACGGTGAGCCCAGTCACTGAACTGCAAAAAATGACAACAACCAGAAATGTAGTGTTAACAAACGCTGTTTGAAAAAAGGCAGACACATAGGCGCGTCCCGTCGCAGAATTTGGATGAAGAAACAATTCTATTACAACTATCTGTTCTTATCGAAGTTTATTGTAACTGAGCTTCTCCTCAAAATTGAAAATAATATGCATGGTTGAAGGTACCCTTGAAAGCTTGAGTAAGCTTTGTGTATCCGCGATTTCATCCCAAATGTCTTCCCTCAAGGTGACGTGGATTTATAGATGATGAAGCGTGCCTTGCTTCGCCATGTTGAGGTGCATCTTTAGCATGTATGGCAGCAAGAACAATGTGGAAAAGATTCGCTACGTTGTTACGCCTACGCGCAAGACGGCGCCCTACCAATACATAATATCTTGGGGAAAGACATATGAGTTGAGATCAAGGGCAGGTTGATTCAAAAATAATTCATGAGCTTTTTGCCAGAAGCACTTTAAACAATTTGATTTTGGTCCGTATAACCACCCTAAATATAGCGGCGCTCTCAAGCAAAGTCGCTACAGTATCCGTAAACTCCGCAAAAACCCTACTGTGCAAACTTTTTGGGTTATGTTGAAAGCACTAAAACTGTTTTCTGAAATGATCGAGAATAACAGTGGCTCCAGCACGACCACAAGAATAAAATGAATTGCTCAGAGTTAGTAAGCGTGTTACCATGAAAATAAGTAGTTCTGCTACTTGCAGGTACTTACTTCCTTTGAAACTGTATAAAGAAAGCACGCAGTCTACCAACATTCATTAAAAGATTCAAACTTGAAGGGAGGAGAGCTAAAAAGAAAACCGATACAAAGGAGATTGAAAAAAATAAGGTAAGGCAAGAAAAACTTCTCCATTAGCTTCAGGACCTTGGTTGTCTTGGCGCCGGTCCGAAATTGGATTACTCTACTTAAAAGCAAATCCTCGGCCTGAAGTTTTTTCGTTTACCTGGGTAATTTCGACGCGCTGATTCCGAAAATACACTTTGGAGAGCGCAAAAACAACGAAATTTGGCGATCCACCACCTTTAAGCGAGCGGCTGCACGTCCGGACATGCGCGGCATCTCTCATGCCTTCCCGCGCTCTCCGCTGGTCTGACGAGTCCGGTATACGTGCCCGCTTGGCCGAACATCTCAGCTCGCGGCCCACTCGGCCAAATTCTTATCTAAGCACTGAGGTGACTCAGCGAAACCAAAGTCATAAATATCCTTTTTTCACATGATCACCCAATCTTTTTATCTTTTGTTTTTTAATTTTATATTCCATCTACATCCTAGACACTGACATAGACATCCTAGACACAACTAGATTTTTGAACCGCGTCAAGTTCCTTTTCCTCGCTTACAAGAAAACGATACTCGTTGTCCGTGGCTTTTTGAGATGAGTTGTATACCATTACACTGGTCTTGGAACGCTGATTCCGAATTTGACTTCCGTTTCTGCTAATCGCTTCAAAGATGTTGTAAAGGATTGTGCGGGCTTCGGCTTTCCACTGAAATACGTTCGAAGCGGCAAGAGTGCCTGTGCAATGTGGTCTAGTGGTTAGCGCGATAGGCTCGTGAGTTGATGCAGTTGTAGGTTCGAATCCCTTCGTGTTTTTCAATATTGCATTGCCTCAATAAACCTTTTTTCGCATCTTCGAGCTAACTGGACGCCCTTACTCTTCAAAAAATGTGGAAATTTGGAAAAAATTTACTATTTGCGTTAAAATGTATCCAATGATCATAATTCGAGTGAATCTCGAACAATTTTAATTGAGGTAGTGCAAAACAAAAACACAAAAGGATTTGAACCTACACCTGTATCAAGTTATAAGGCTATCACACTAACAACTAGACAATAACATGGCGCCGGTAGAGGCCGTTCTGGTGACCATACCTTGGGCGGATAAAGTTGGCTCGAAATTCCTCCATAACTTCCTTCAGAGGAACGATTAGCAGAAACGGAAGTCAGATTCGGAATCAGCGTTCGAAGGCGAGTGTAATGGTATACATCTCGTCTCAAAAGGCCACGGATATTGAGCATCGTTCCCTTGTTAGTTACATGCCTCCCCGCCCCCCCCCCCCCCCCCAAATCATGAATGGTGGCACAATGCTCCAAGCGCACGATGGTGTGCGCCAACAGGCATGCCATCATTCAAAGAACACGAAATCATTAGCTCCGTTTATTGCGTGTCTACCGTCCTTTTTCTGTTCTGCGACCTTCATCTTCTGATTTTCTTTTTGCGACCTTACAGGTTCATAATCTTTTTTGCGAAGTCAGGGGAAACTTCTGGAAATCCTCGTTCCGAGTCCGATAAAAACAACTGAGGCATGAGGAGTCAATAGGCACTCTTCCTGAACTAAATAGTCAACATTTCTTCAAGAATACTTCTATGCACACGGCGGATAAAAGGTAAATAACACGAAGAACAAGGGGTTCAAAACGTCTCCATGGAGTGTCATGGCGTAATCAGAGCGCAACAGTACTTATACTTAAAAGTGATGACTAACTAAACAGTTCGAAGGCTGACAAGAATGTTTGCCAAGACGAAAGATTACCGCTTTCGAACAGAAAGCTTTCTCATTAAAATTTTTCGTGGAAAACCTCAAGAAAGTTTTCGAGAGGCTAAACAACAAAAACAATTTACAAGGAGCCGCATCGTTTCCGCTAATGATGACTCACGGCTATTAGAAAAAACAAAGCGACATTGCTCATGTTTGCGATGTCGTATGCTCGATACCTCAAGCCGCTCGTCTTCAAGGCGTGTGTAAATTCTGAATGCAAAGAAGGAAGTAGTTTATAAAGTTCTTCACGTCATTCTAGCTGCTTATCTATGGGAGTTAACGAGCGTTTTATCCTAAAAACTTGTAAAACTTTGAGGGTATCTGCATCCACTTTAGGCACTTCAAGCAAGAGAACCAAATAGACTACACATTTTTTACGAGCAGGCTGGGACGGTTAAGGTGACCTTCTTATCTGTTGCTGCCGTTCATCTATACAAATTACAAGATAGATTTTGCCAACATAATTTACGGACACATGATACTATACCCTTCCAAGGTTTGTCCTAACCCCGTGCAATGCCTCATAATATCCGCCTAAACTACGATCCTAGGCGTGAATCATTGCGAGACAATATTGGTGCTTTTACGTTCAAGTCACATAGAGGACTCATCAATTGCAGAGTCGAGTGCACCAGCATCTCTGCACCAGCATGGCCGCGTCTGCTTGGCCTGAACCTCTTTCGCGAACATGCTCTTTGATCCTTTTCGCACGCTTAAATGGCGGTTGAAGCTCCGCCTTTCCCATGTTCGTGGTGGGAAAGTGATAAGAGAGCATGTTTGCGAAAGAGGTGCAGACTCCAACCGACGCGGCTGCGCCGGAGCGGAGATGCTGGTTCACCCGCCTCCGCGATTTATAAGGCGTGTAGATATCATCTTTTATCGCTATCCAATGCAATTCAGAGCAGGAGCAAAGTGTAGCACGCCAATGTGGACCACATAAAACGATGACAAAGAAGTGCAGACAATTGTAACTTTGCCGCCATTTATATTTTATTGGTTTCGTGCCAACGAGGAGAGCGAGGTCCAAAGGTGATTGCAGCATTGGCTAGGGTAGCCGCCAGATAGCAGAAGAAACGCTAATCCCAGTGGTACTCCAGAGCAACAATCGCAGACTTTTCGATTGTAGATATGACCAGTGCTAAACTTCAGTTTTTGTCCAACGGTTCCCTACATGAAAAAGTCCCCAAATTGCGATGAAAAACAGCGCAGCTTTTACTCTTTCCTTTCGGAATACTGGTTTTTCTTACGAACTACCACTATGAACGAGCTTCAAACGTTCGAATACACAGTATATTATAAAAAAAGTACTTTTTACAAAATTCATGCAAAACAAACCGGTACACAATCATCAAATAAAGATTGAATAAGACGGAACCTAATCAACAGGACCTTAAAAACCTCTAATAACATATAGTATCGGTCCTACCGAGAAACAAGTAGATATCAGAAGTAGATACTTAAGCTATACGAGAACCATTTGAAGCCAATCTAGACGACAGCGAGAACCTGACAGTAAAGTTGTGCAGATAAAAGGAGCATTATACAAAGGCAAATCATATGAGGTGTACAATCATTAGTGATAGATATCGGATAATCAAATTTTTCACGCTAATCGCTTTCTAATTGATTATCAAAAGCATGTACTGAGACAATGAAAACAATCAAAAAATAAAACGGCAGAAAATATACAGCAATCAAAAAAAAAAATGTTTATAAGGCTAAGAGCGTTATCACGAGATCCTCATCACAATCAAAATTTCCCAACTATTAAGCAAATCTATTTCCTTTTCTTCTGAGACTTTGTCAGCACAAAATCTGCAACTAGCGGAATGTGGTCACTGGGTACGTAAGGATTTGGCCATGGGCCTAATGTATTCTCAAGAGTTTCACGATCAGGCAAGCTCAATCGGCGAAGAAGCCGAAGCTCCGGAACTTCGTATACTTGCGTTACCTCAAATTGATAGGGTTAATATGATAAAAAACCCAACGCTGCCGAAAAGCAATTCAGCAGGAACAAAAGTAAGAAAATATTTGTTAAATGAAATATAGAACTAGAAATGCTGAATACCCTCGAAAAAACACCGCCAGCTTTTTCGGCAGATTCAGCGTTTGCACATACAAAATAGTAAGCACCTACCTTGTCCAGGATTTTCTTCTTTTCTATTGTGTAAAAGATGAAATCAGGATTGGCTGCCTCTCTGTGGTAAGTGGAAATTTCTTTCTGCAAAAGTAATGATCCGTTAGTAAAAATCTCGCGCAAATCAAGAGCTACCTTGCCATCCTCTACAAAATGATGATACACTGATGCTAAACGCAATGGGTGGGTAAAGTAATCGGCAGCAACTTTTCGAGGTGCTGAAGAAAAAGAACTTAACAAAGACGAAATGCACTGGAAGGAAGACTTGCCCTTTGGATCGACAAACATGCTGTCCCTTCCGACTTTAGAAGCAGGCGGTAGAATCTTCTCCGCATTTACGCAAGGGCCACCCGTTTGCCCCTGTCCCGATAATTCGTTACGTGGAAGACCTCTCAGGTAAACACTAGAATCATCAGCATGACTGACAAAATCATCATACAAGAAAATGAATAGCACCTCGATTCGCTGACGAATGTATAAACATATGAAAGTGGCTCGATGTTGAAATCACCATTTATGATCACAGGACAACGGTTTTCTTTCAAAATCTGGAAGTCAATGCTTTAGCATCAAGAACGTATAGTTAGACAGTTTTGGTTGATTTTCATACAACAGATCACTTAAAAATTTCCTAAAATTCTCATGACCATTTTCTCACAAAAAAAAACTTTATTGTGCCAAAAAAACATTAGAAATTTGAAGAAAACTGTAAGCGATGCCTGGAAATGAAAACTTACATCTTGTATATTTGCAATAAGCATAGCTAGCTGCCCTAGTTTGATATCTCCCCGAGCTGAATTATACAATAGGTGTGTATTGGCATAGATTATTTCTTGACCCGTTTTCTTGCACCGTAGTTGTAGAATTTGTCCTAAAATTATCACTCTTGTACAAAAATTTTTCATTTTGCCTCACTCTTGTGCAAATCACGTAAAAGCACTCATAAAACCCACCTATTTGATCTCTGTCCATTGTTGTACCATTAGCTACAAAATATTCCACGATTCTATAGCGAACAACATCAAACTTGGATTTTCTCACAAACACTGCGCATCCGTCACTCAAACCGTTTGTGCGTTGTTTATAGTAAGTAAAATAACCAACTGAAAAAAGTCGTAATTAGTGAGACAAGAAGACTAGGACCTCACAAACCCTTAGCCATAGCAGGCCGAAAATGCGAATCGTAATGATCGTGCTGAACTTCTTGCAAACCATATACATCAGCATTAAGACGTAGCAATTCTTGTTCCAATAGAGGCCAACGATGTTCCCATGACAGTGCACTTTCGTCATCACTAAGTATACCATTTGCAGAAAGTAATGTGAATAAGCCTTAAATTCTATCAGCAATGGCAGCGACACCGTTAGTGAATAATTACCCCCAATAGAATTTTTTGAAGAGTAAAGCTAGTATTTTTCCAGATAATGTAGTCTTCATGCAAGGCGGGAAGTTAGGGCTTCTTTATCCCAGTCTAAAGCTCTTGAATCACCAAGCTCTATCTAGAAATTTTGTGGAAACCACAATCTTGGAATCATCATACAAGCTTTGATGCGCGAACTTGTCTGCAAAACTTTTAGAGCACTCACGACCGGGTAGAAATATTAGACCGACAAACAAGATTGTTGCTATCTGCCGACTAATTGCAGTAAAGCTATCAATAGCATCAATAGCGAACAAGTTTATCTTTGTACACCTCAGTGTTTTATTTGCCGCTAGAAAGTACCAAAATTTGAGCCATTTTGCGCTTTCTATCACGTTTTCTCTGGTGTCGCCGATTGCTTCATTCCTATCACCGTCAAATTTTGATTACTCTGTGAGAAAGATCACCTCAAATGCCTATAAAGATACATGGTCTTCTTCGTCGTCAGATCACAAAGCACGTTATAGCTGCAAACTCGGAATTCCGCATTGCTACTTGACGGTTGTGGAGCTGCCTAAAAAGGATATTTCTGCAGTCGTTTTAGTTTCGCGCAATAATTATCCGCATAATCGGGGAATGCAATGTTCCAAAAATTACCGTAAACTTCTCCCAATATCTAGGTGTCACACCCGTGAGCTGTTTGGTGCTTCTCGATAAGGCATCTTCATCCGCTGGTTTTCGACTCATCCCACCGCGTGTCTGCAAGATCATTTTGAAGATCCGAGAAGTGAAGTTTATCCAACAGTTGACCACCAGCAACTAAGAAAAAGGGAATTTGTTGGAAACCTTATACAACATACCGATGTCTTGGTAGACAGACGCTTTTTGGTCTTCTTTTTAGTCGTCTTCGTGACCTGCAACCACTATCAAGTAAAAACAGCGGAGTAATGTATAATACATTTCGTCACAAACAGAAGTTTTTCAGATGTTTTGTGGAATTATACAAGCACCACTGCAAATTTTATCAGCGATTCTATCGAAATCGCATCAAAAGACCAATATAGCAGTAAGACCTCTGAGCCCACTACCGTAATCCTACAGTATCGTGTTTACGAGTCTTTTCAGAGATAAACTTGTAAGAAATCAAAGAATTTAGGAGTTATACGCTCAATTTCGAGATGGTAAGCGAAAATAATCTTCTCATACTAATTTAGTATACACTTAAAGAGTGGAAACACAGAAATTTCGGAGAAGTTATCGTAGCCGAACAGAGGAGCAATATTTTAAAAGCTAAAAACCGAAATAAAGCTAACCACATCGTCCCGCTGGATGACTGTAACTTCCTCCTCATCTACAACTGTCAAATCCTCCATACATACCACTTCACTGTCGGAGAACTCTGAAAATTGCAAAATAGCAAATGATAGTCATGCATACGTGTACAAGTTAGCTAGTGATGGAAGGAGTCGATAAGCTGTCTTTCTCACAATTCTCACGTCGATCTGTTGATGCTTCGGACTAGCATAAGAGCATTTGATGTACTTCGACTCTAATATGCACTTTCAACGATGTACTTCCAAGGTTACATATCGAGCGTGAAGTGCAGAGGAATAGAGAAATTCATAAATTGCACTTTTTTAATAGAAGGAAGCGGTATTCTGGACTTCCGCAAGGAAGCAGTATACTAGCCTTCAGTGGCAATGTTGGAAAGGTGGAGAAACGCACGAAATAATTTGCTGAGATAATGGGCTGCAAATGTGTTCGTGTGCTGGATTTAATTTCTTCTCAGAATTTACGTGGGACTTCATAATGTGCACATTTAACTTTCAAGATCTTTCTTTCAACTATTAGGCGGACTTTGTCGTTTTACCACAATCATTTTTTTCTTTATTTCTAGCCATGGAAAAAATACGAAAATAGCTTGAATGAGCGATGTGTCAAGCATACGCTAGGGCAAATGGGGAATTTTTGAGACATCTTGGGGCAGAGATTTTGAAGGAAAAGTTCGTTTTCGACTGCTATCATATTTCGTTTGTTGTAGCGCGCAACATGTGCACGAAATAAACAAATAAATAAATATTTCAGCTCAAAACTTTCGGTGAATTACGATTGCGGCAGATTCTCCATAGCAATCTTGTAAAGCTTGCTTTGCCCTGTCGAATGATTCCTCAGCCACATCAATTGAGGGAAAGATACAAAGAAACGACGGCTATAGTAAAAACGGTAAAAAATTATGGGACCCCCTAATAGTTCCCGCCTCAATCTTTTTTTTTTCAAAACGAGATGACCAATGATTTCAGGCTTATAAAGTGAACACCCAAGAGTGAGAAAATCAAATTACTACTGTCTTTCTAGCCCCCTCAATTCTTTTTAATGAAAGCTTTCCAGATAACTACTACCCAGTGAAACTTATTTGTCTACGACCTAAACCTCTTCGCACATCCTTGCCATTTCCTAGAAAATTGATGTAAAGCGATTTTGCAATATTTTCTTTGCCTACCTCAGTTTCAGTTCAAATGTTTGGCAACAAAGCTCCTTTAGGCAATGCATTGATGAAAGCATGCTGACAGTGGTACTGCAGACACGCTCAAATTTTCTATTCTGTTTCCGCCATTTCTTCTCTCTCTCGTGAACTCCCCCCCCCCCCTCCTCCTTCCACCCTGCTCCGCTACAGAAACTCTGCGACGCCAGCGTCCAACAAAACAAAGCCTACTGCACAATAGCATACTGCACAAAATTCCACAATAGACACCCCGTTAAAATCTGATTCGTAGGATCCCAAGTCGAACCTGCACTTAAGTTACCAAAAAATCTTTGACTATGTTGACCAGTTTTGCTTTTTTACGTATTTCTGAAATTAGCTCTTGCGCGCTTAGTTTCCTACGGCTGCGTCCAGGGTTTGCCGTGCTAGCGCCGTTCCAGAGCTTCATTTGATCAATACGAGTACCAATCAAGCGGCTTCCAACACGACGCTAGCACGGTACTGGCACGACGCTGGCACATCGTCGGCACAGGGCAAGTAGAACGCTGCCTAAAGAATTATTGCAATTTCTTCAAAGTTAAACCTGGTGCAACTATTGCACAAACACACCGTACTGCTTCTGACACGAAATTCGTCATAAGAATTATTATATATATAATTCAAATAGTACAAAATTGGTATTTCGCAAGAGTGGCATGACGATGCAAGCGTCATCAAGCAATGCGAGCATGACGATGCAAGCATCTATAGAAAATGTAAAGAATACGTACCATAAGCATATGTTATGACAGGTGCACTTCGTCAGCTCTTTATGTAAACATGCTTTTGAAATTTCCAATGTCGTTAAACCAATTCACTGCATTCAGCTCATCAATACTTTCCCCGGTTTTGAGAGAGTGTCGAAAATATGAACAGACGAAATCGTGGAAGAAAGATTTTTCATCTCAAAAAGATGATATACAAGGAAAGCTGTGCTCTAACACTCCATATCAATTTAATTTCCAATGAGGCAGTTTCCAGGACAGATCTGGTAGCTGGGTTTCTTATATGAACTGATTGGGAAGCCTTAGGTATCCCGCTGCCCAAACAACACCTCATACGACTCAATCGTGGCTGGAAAATCAACTGTAAACTTTCGCCCAGTACCGTACACTTGGTGAGCAGACCAACAAGTTTCGAGTACGGTGTGATTAAAGACTACGGTACTGGACGAAAATCAAGCTCACATTCTGCATCAAAGTTGTGGCCACTGGCTCTGACATGAAACGCGCTACCGATATCGACCTAGATACAACTTGAGTCCCACCCTCCCAAAAATTTTTACACGTCAATCGTAATTAGCCGTCAACCGATAATTTTCGCTCCGTACAGAAGCGTTTTGCTTACGCGAAAGTTCGTTACTTATAGAGGATGGACTTCTCAAGCTCAAAACAAACCTTTCTCAGCTGTCAAATCGATGACATCTCCCTCTTCTTGCGATCGTAATGTCAGTTGTAGATCATCTGCAATTAAGAGCTGAGTTATAATAATATCTGATAACATACGCGTCAAAGGGTGCCTAAAGTTCATCAGTCATTTTCAATATTTGCAGATATGCACATATGACTTTTGATAAAAGGTTAGTGTCCGCGTCAATTTTGCGCAATAATTTCAAAAAATTGTTTTCATGCACTCTACCGGTAACATTTATCAATGATGAAGGTTTGACGGATAAACACGCAATAAAATGCTGGTTGAAAGCAAAGCAACACAAAAGAGAACGCACAAAGAATTCTCGCACTTTCAACAAGGAACAAAATGCAGAGCAAAATGCAGAATCGAAACTATAGTTCGATTTTTGGAAACATGCCAAAACGTTGTGCAGCATTAAAAGGAAATTGCAATTCATGAACTTTAATTTATTTCCTTTGCAAGCGACAGAAAAACGAGATTGTTTGCCAAACGGAGAACACAGTAGCGTATCGATTTTATCAGGAAAGAAGTTTAGCATTTTCATTTTGAATAACGCTGCTGTCAGTGGCTTACAACGAACAAAAGTCAAAGATACAAGAGGAAATGGTGAGAAATTTGATTACCATGACCGTAAAAAACAAAAAGAATCGAAAATTTTGAAATTTGAACAAAAATTATTGACGCACCTTCGCTTGTTACTTCAATCACACAATCATCTCCTGTTTCTACATCATCGGAACTTTCAGTAAGTTCGCCTTCTTCTGGAGGACTTGCAGGAATGCAAAGATTTTCTTAAATGCTAGATCGTGAGAAGTTATGAAGTAGAAAGAACTCAAACTCTGGCCCATTCCACTGACCCAAAACATCACGCAGCGTCTTATTATTATTATTTGTTGTTGTTGTTGTTGTTTCAGTAGTATTTTCTTCTTCGATGGTAAGATCGACTACTTTCTCCATAGATGATGATCCTGAGCTAGAGCCTGGAGCAAAAAAAAACTTTCTCCCAAAATTCCCCAAGAAAGAACAAACCTGCTTCGGGAACGTGAAAGGTAGCTTCAAGAGGATTCCAGGGCAATCTCGAATCGCGTCGGGTTCCAGGCTTTTTTACTTTTTCTGAAAGCAGACCTGGTTCAGGTACGTGAAATGTGGCCTCTAGGGGGTTCCAGGGTAACTTCGAGTCGCGGCGGGTCCAAGGCTTTTTTACTTTTTCTAAATCACTAGGGTGAAGAATGCCATATACGCCAGCTAGGGTGAAGAATAGCACAGACACCGACTCACCTGGCCTAGCAAATTCGAAAGCTCTGGGTGTACTAGAAGAAGGACCCTCGTCAATGTCGTCCAGAATAACGCAGTCGTCACTTTCTTCTCTGCAGAAACAGATTACTCTTATAACTAAGCCAATTAAACCTTTCAATACTTCTACTCAGTACCATCCATTGGCTTCGAGAAATCCAAAAATGCAAAGATAGAAAAACACCTCGATGCATCGTTAGTAAATCACACAGACACGGTATCGCTAAAATTTCTAGCAGCGCAATAGCATTTTAACCAAGCATGCATTGGAAAAAAAACGCGGAAAAGCAAAACAGAAAATGACAAGAGCAGAAACAAAGTACATGAAAAAAAAATTCAACTCACTTCCTCTTTTTCGGAGCCGGACTTTCTATGACAACTTTTCCAGAGCTAGTCGTAATAATCTCTTCTTCCAAATCTACAACTGGTAGCTGCGGTCTGATATGTTGGTCTTCCTCCACTGAAAACTTACGTAAATGATCGATAAACAAGGCACTCGATCGCGACAGTAAAAACCAAGCAAAAGCTTTTGTAAAAAAAGCAAGATGCGCAGCTGTTTCATGGGCGTAAGGACAAAAGAAATGTTGGAACTTCCAAAGATATAATCTAAGCGATCAAATGTTGGAAACAACAAGATCAGAATGTTCGATAATGTGCGTGAAAGCGCAACAGTACTTATCAAAAACATCCGCTTTGTTCTGGATCATAGACATTCGCAATGTTCCTTCAAGCACCGAAGCCAAACATTAAACATGTTTCAATGAGAATGCCGGTAAGATAAAAGCGCACAGAAATAGTCATTTGCAATTTCAACTAAAAGTAACTCTGTAGAAAGGATCGAAAATAAAAAACTGTTTGAACAGATTTTCGCTCGAACACAACATAAACCGTTTGTTCAAATGAGTGGCTTCATGGGCCAATTCTGACAATATACAATTCGATGTCAATATAAGGATCAATAAATATTGAGCAAAGTTACAATGTCAAAATCCAGGAAAAAGTCAATTACGATATGTACTTTGAAACAACTCACGTATCATGCGAAATATGTTGATCGAAGTGCTTTCCTTTTCCGGTCCATTCGCATTTTTCGGTAATATCAATGGCACATCCGGTGATATCATTCTGGAAAAATACAACTTATCAAAAAATGACGCCAACGATATGTACACAATTATGCGGTAAAATTGAGAGCAAATCAGAATAAAAGTGCCGGAAGCATCTTCTTCCATGCTTCTGCTGGAATTCTTACTAAGATTCAAAGTAAAGGTAAGCGGCCAATAATACAAGAAAATGGATGAAGAGTGAACTTCCAAGTGCACTCTAAAAATATTAGTGTTAGCTGCCGATCGTACATTAACAGCGTGATAACTATGCTGGATCCTTAATTCAAATGTAAAGATAGGCCACTAATGTCTCGAAACCAAAAAAAAATAAAGGAGAGCATGGAGTTCAATCAAAAAACGAACCTTGATCAAAAGCACGTCTAAATAATTAGCAGGGTTAGAAGTAACAAAAATTCAGCAAATGAAAGCGTAGAGCAACAAAATCAGAAATCTCAAATTATAAGTAAACGTACCTTAATGAATCAATCGTTGGTTCCTTATCTGAAAATGCTCCCTCACTTTCTGGAGGAGGAGTTGGACGACGTGGAGGCCAGACTATCTTAGGAGGCGAAGGAGTCCAGACTACCTTCGGTAGAAAAGGATGAAATCCACGATTTCGATGCAGGCGAGACATGACAGAGTTAGAAATATGGGGCGGTACGAGCGGTAGATTCTGTGTTAGTGGCGCTGATATTTGCTGGGACTGATATGCAGTCCATGACAATCCATGCATCAGCTTATTGTACTGTACACAATCAGTTTGTGGGGTAAGGACATTCGGCATGGCATTTGTAGCAAATATTTGATAGACTTGTCCAAAAACATGGTTATTGCCTAAGGGCAACGGAGCGGGTGTCGGTGGTATAGCCTGTAGGCAGGGCAACGGTCCAACGTTGTTCCACGTGTGACAGTTGCTCATCTTCAAAGAAAGATATTCAGAATCCAAGAAAATTGTTAATCCTCGAGAACGAACGTTGATGCGGAATAGATGAGAAGAAAAAATCCGAATGACTTGTTTGATGAAAAGTCAGAGAGAAGTCGGAAATTTCTTCACAAAGAATTGTCAATTGGTCTGACAAGTCGCATATAGCCGAGCGCGCTTCTTTGCTAATGTGTGCAGTTCCACTATATTATTATTTAGTTTTATTTTTACACTCTAGGTGCGTCATAGAAAAGAAAACGTGAAAGAAAAGAAGACTTATGTTAACGAATTGTGCCTGAACAACAATCACAGAAAAAAACAAAAAACAATGAAACCCAAAAAAATAAAATAAAAAAACACCAGGAAAAACAATACCTGGATGTAAAAACCGATCCATCCCTAAAGAATCTGCAATTGCACAAATTAGCAAGAAACCACTGCTCCCGACTTCAGAAACAACTAGAAAACCGATCATTTCAAAGAAAGCCAGAAGCGAAGCGCTCATTCTATAAGAAGCAGCTGCATGCTTTGCATCATTTCCTCGTGAATGTCAACAAAGAAAATTTGATTGACAAGTTTCGAGCTGATTTTGCTTCGTTTTGGATAAAATAAGGGAGCAAATCGAAAGAAAAAAATACAAGAAACGATGAAACTACCTATATATGCATGAGGAAGAAGTGTCTTGTGAATTGATCTTTTTTTTTGGGGGGGGGGGGGGAGGAAACTGGGAATACTCGTGGTGGATTTGGGATTGCTGGGAATATATGCTTGTAAATCAACAGCGCACCAACGAAATCGAAAGCAGTGTGCGATCAAAACTTGTTCGCCCCCATAGGGTGGGGCTCGCAGGATTATCGAAATGAGGCGTTTATGCTGTCAAAATTAAAAAATTTATAAAATACTGAACAGAAAGACAATTTTTCGGGATAAGCTTCAAGAAATTTTTATCTGCCCCCTCCCCCTCCCCCCCCCCCTCCCCCACCCACACTGCAAAGGCAGCGAACAAGTGCAGAAAAGCGAACTATCGATTCGAGAATCCACAGCAAAAACAACTTCGCACACGAACACGGTGCCGCTAGCTGTGCCTGAGTCTTTTCAATTCGCTAAATGATTACCCTATCTCTCTGAGCTTCGAACCTCAGCTTTATTTTTATCCATAATCTGCTAATGCTCGGTTTATCAGCATTTTTGTATGCTGGCCGTGCTACTTGTTTACTGTTCACAAATAGTCGCATTCCGCTAGCTGCTGCTGCTTCACCGATTCATTTCCGCCAAATGTCAAAAGCTACAAAAAAATTCATTAACGATCCCAAGAACGCAGTTGATGATGCTCTTGATGGGCTTGTGAACGCTTCCGAGCATGTTACGTTCGACAAGGTTGGTCAAATTTATCTAATCACAGTTCGGTATTCCACATCTTTTTACAGTAATAAAAACGAGCTTTACGAAGCATAATTCATCATTTATTCTACGAGGTTTTTGAGTACATCTCCGCTATCCGAATCATATCATGAAAAAAAAAACAGAATTTCGTGTTTTTGTCATGCCAAAAATGCTTTTGACCCGGGGAAAGTGTCAGTGACAATCAAGTGCAAAAATAATCTTGCATTTTATTATTCGTTTGATACGTCTTGTTCAGATATTCAGAGTAATTAGCCGAATGCGTATTCTATTTTTACAAACAATTTCACCTCAAGAGACATCAGTTATCTTCACATTGGAGCATTACCGCTTTTCATTTACCGTTAATAATTGTTGCGCTAGATGCTGAACGCAAATATACAGACCCATGGATGCAGATTGCAAAAATGATAATAATGGGTACTTTTTCCACATTGTTAGTTGGATGATAGATTCAACTCTCTTTCTTAACGAAAAGTGTTTTGAAATGAATGAAAAAACAAGATTTTGACTGCTAAACACCTTTCCATCTATTTCAGAACTGCCGCCGAGTTGTTCTGAGAGCTGATTACGCCGATTACTGCGCTAAAGGCAAGGTAGCCTTGATTGCTGGTGGTGGTTCAGGACATGAGCCTTATGCTGCAGGTGAATTATTCTCATTTTTAACAATTTCTATACCACTGGGCTCAAAAAAGTCGTGCGCGCTCGCGCTGGGATGCATTATTGCTTTTTATTATATCTCGAGTTTGTAGTAAGCAAGAACGAAAAAGTTTAGTTTGCGATTGCGATGGCTGCACAGCCTCAAGTCCCCTAACTCATGTAGGTTTTGCACAAAGAATATCAATGAGACGAGGGCACGGGGTTAGAAATGTGAAGCAAGATTTTGTATCGATAAAGCAAGAAACAGAGGTGTAAAGTAGTGAAGAAATAATTAAACTGTCTCAATTCTATATCAAATACTCCTATTTGTTTCCTTTATCACAAAGTTTGGTAGAAGTGATGAAAAATAACGAATTCATGACCTAAACAAATTCAATCTCGTTTTTTTGCGAAGTTATATTTTGCTCTGTAAAGCTAGGCCTTGACTATACTTATGAAAATCATGTTACGAACTATCCAAATTTTCTTCAGGCTATACAGGCCCGGGCATGCTTACCGCTGCTGTGGCTGGCAACGTTTTTGCTTCACCTCCATCCCGCCATGTTAGCGCTGCTCTGAACTCTACTTCATCGAAAGGTGACTTACAATTATGTCACGATGCTCTATCAGCAGCAGATTCTAGGAGGCTCAATACTCTTCATTATCAACTATACCGGTGACAGGCTAAATTTCGGATTAGCCGCAGAACGCTATAAAACGGGTGGACATGACGTACGGGTGAGTAACGAATTCTTTCCAGGCACTTTTTCCAGCACAAGTTTCCAGGTCGTCACGATAGCAGATGATGTAGCTATCGATAAAGCTATGTCGACTGCCGGTAGAAGAGGTCTGGCGGCTGCTGTGCTTGTTTTGAAGGTACGGTAAATATCAATTTGCGCATTTTTCAGTTTTTCCTCTTTCAATATCAGTCGGCACGCGAAGACGAAGAAGAATTTCGCGGCGCCGTCCATAATAGGTCACATTTGTTGAGAAATTAGCCTAGTCGAAGACATGAATTCAGTGAGATTGAGAGCATCATTTTTGCCACTGATCTCGGAGATAGGATGATAAAAAAGTGTATGAAGTAAATCTCAAATACATATAGTAACGTGAAAGGTTCCGATTATATAAATACTCTAGGTGGCTGGTGCTATGGCTGAGACGGGTAAATATAGTGCAGAGCAGATTGAAGCTATGTCTAACAAAATGAACGACAACGCAGGTACTAACTACATCATAGCTTTTGTTCAAAGGATTGAATTATAGGGACAATTTACAGAAAAAAAACTGGAACTTTTAGGCACCATGGGAGTATCACTCTACCCATGCAGCGTACCTGGTCAGGGTAAAATGTTTGATTTGCCAGAAGATATGATGGAGGTTGGACTTGGTATTCATGGAGAACCAGGATGTCGTCGTGAAGCAATAGGAAGCGCAGATAAAGTTGTAAATACAATCATGAAAAGGCTACAAGAGATCGTAAAGTTTGGAAAAGGTAAGTTCAAACATAAAAAGAGAAAGTTGGCTGGGAATGTAGTTATTGCAGATGAGCCCATAATACTTCTCATCAACAACCTAGGCGGTGTGTCTCAGATCGAAATGGGTATCATCAAAAGCGAAGTAGTGAAGTGGTGCCGTAAGTACCTTGTTCAGTATCTATCTTGATGAGGCCTTTACCAGATCTGGCAAAATTCCAGACCAAAATGGAGTCAATATAGCGCGACTTTTGTGTGGCACTTATATGACCTCTTTGGACGGGCATGGCATCAGTCTCACCGTAATGAAACTGTTTGAAAAAGAGATTCTCGATTTCTTGGATGCTCCCACATCGGCGCCAGGATGGCATGGAGCGGATAACCTTAGCAAGCAAGAAACTGCACCTTCGCCTGACAAAGGTCAATCTATTCAGGTGCAAACTTCTTCCAAAGAATTAGCATTCACAAAAGGTAGGTCAAACCCAAAAATATGCCTTAGGACTTGTAAGCCTGAAGATTTTCAGAGCAAGCTGAGCTTGCCAAGAAATGTGTACTTGCGGTATGCGATAAGATGAATGCTATGGAATCAGAGCTGAACGCTTTGGATGGAGCTGCTGGTGACGGAGATTGTGGATCAACGTTTGCACATGCTTCGAGAGGTAATCTCTTGAACCTGGTGCTACTAGTACTGTGCTGAGCAGATTTGAAAAAAAAATTGCAGAGATCAAGAAGAGAATGGAAACGCTTGAGCTGAGCAGCGCGCAACAGCTACTTTTTAACATATCCGAGGTATTCGAGCAAGAAGTTGGAGGCACTGGTGGAGCGGTGGGTGTTTTTGCATACAAAGTTGACCACCCAAGAAGTTGTCTTCTTCTGCACCATATGATGAATTTTGAATTACTTTCCAGCCAAAATTCTACATGAATCTAGGGAAACACTCTTCTTTGGTTTAGATTAATGTAACTCGAATTTTATATATATGGATTTAGAGACTTTAGCTAAGATTATCCAAGCGGTTGCTCGCATTATGGCCGAAGTTTTCAACTCTGAACTTCAGCCCATCGTAGTTCGAGGAGAAGTCAGCATCTCCGAGCACCACAGTATTGGACGAGAGTTTAGAGTTGAATTCTTCTGCTAAATGAACAACTGAGCTTCCGTTGTGATAATGGCTTAATTAAGGTCTCGCATTCAGTATCCACTTAGGGAACTTTGGTTGGGCACCGCCTTCAGTCCCAAGTTTCATGTTCCCCGGTCCATGAAAATAGACTTTTTAAAAGCTTGATCTACACATTCTGTCATCGTCGATGTTCAGATCTATGCGCTGATGCTTAGTGCCGCCTCAGAAGCTCTCGACAAATCCATCACTAGCAAAGATTTTGCCACTGCTTTGCAAAAAGCTTCTGAAGCCGTGCAAAGATATGGTGGAGCTCGACCTGGAGACAGAACTTTGGTAACTTTGGCACTTCTCACAGATACTCAGCCAGTAGTTTCATATCTAGGTGGATGCTCTACATGCCGCCGTTGAAAGCACAAAGAGCGGAGAAACTCAGTGGGATAAGATCATTGAGGTGAAGTTCAGCTGCCTAACCATAAAGCTCTTCATTTCCCAGAGACCCAGAAAAAACTGAGAACCATACTTCTTATTCGCACCGCACATTACAGAAATAGATCATTCCCATTTACAAAAATCACTTTGTTTAGGCAGCTGAGAAAGCGGCTCAGTCCACAGCGAATATGACAGCCAGAGCTGGACGAGCGAGCTACACAGCAAAAGAGGTGAGATTTCGTTCAATCAACACTAACGCGCCAATTATTATCTTCTTATTTTTGTAGGTCCAAACAAAACCAGACGCTGGAGCGGTTGCAATCTCTGCTTACATGAATACAATATGGGATACGATCAAGCAGAATGCGCAATGAGTCATGCTGGTTCTGCACGACCTTCGAAACTGCTCATGAGAGAAAAGCAGGAATTAGAGAAATAGGATAATATGAGGAATATTAGAGATAAATTATTTTTTGCAAGAAGGAAGTAACGAGTATTACGAAGTGGCAATTTTGAAAACACCAGAGATAGATGGCCTCCGGAAATGTTCAAAGCCGACTACAAAAAATAAATTTGACAGCAAAGTTGCAAAATCTTATTGTAACAATAAAGGTAGTGTGTATTCCATTACAATGACTTATTTAATGAGCTTCAGACAGCACCGGGAAGAGCAGAATAGAGTAGATTCTGCAGTCATAATGCGCTGTAAGTGCATCGAACACAATTGAGTCTATTTCAATTTGTTAAATCCGCAAACAACTGACTAAATTTGTAATTGTGAACACAAATCCAATTGTTCTACAAATGAATTACGCTATTGCGCCAAAGCATCGTCAACAACGCTAAATAAGCAACTTACCAAAGATCCGATACTCAATGAAAAGAGGAGGGGGATTGTAAAGATCAGTAAATATTAGGGTGAACGGTAAAAAATGGGACACTTACGAAATAACTGGAGGTTTCTCAAGAATGAGAAGCGATTAGGCTTTCCAATTTTGAAAGATGTTAGAATATGTTATTATCTTTCTGATAGTACCTATATAAGGTCATTTACATGGTTAATAATTTTTGTACTTGCTGAAATGCAAAGTTAGTCACTTCGATATATTATGAAGTTTGAGCAGTATCTGCGCAGCGAAACATCTGAGACCACCCAAAGTACCACTGCTGGAGTGGGTGGTGGGACAGCCACTAAACCCACGACGGCTTGGTGGCCTCAACTTTCAAAGTCAGGAGATATGGCCAATGGCAGCTTTGAGGACAAAGACAAGCGCTATTCAATTCTTTGCAGGTAAACGCATGTTTTCTAGGTACCATCTGATAGAGCTTTTTGCGCTCTATCCATCCATATGCAGATTATCTCAGATTTTATCTATCTTTGGGAATTATAGGGCAAAACATGATTTTTTTGGTTTTTTATTGCGCCAAAAATAGCTATTTTTCGTGTTTTTTTCCCTTTTTTCTGAAATTGAAAAGAAATCTTAAGCATTTGACATATCAGTTGAAAGAGCATGAAAAGCTTTTTCGAATGGTATGTCATATGCTTTACGACTTTACGGTATAGCAGCGCAAGATTGAGAACTGTTCCAAAAACCCTGTTTAAGTTCTTTACGGCGCCACGCGTACGGTTATGAGAGAGGAGCGGTAACGCGTTGCCAGAATAATAGGCGAAGGTCGTTTATGTAAGCGACGTTTGAGTTGTAGCCTGCTTGTTGTTGATGAGAACAAAAAACCTCAAAATGTAAAAAAAAATCAAGTTGTCCCATTTTTTACCGTTCACCCTAATAGTTCCTTCGTGCGATTAAGAGCTCCATGAAAATGAAGAAAGAGAACTTTTTCAAAGAAATCTGCAAATTGCAGGAGTTATCCTCAGATAACGCAAAGTTGCAAGAATGCATTGAGTGTGAGATATTGTATAAGTTACACAAGCTTTGCACAATTTTTTCAGAAAGTAATTGAGCTAAGCCTACAGCATATATGATGCCATAGCAGGACGAGCGATCATACAGCGAAGACTGTATATAGGGCTTATCAAACGCAGTGTCGCTTGCATTAGCATCTCCACTCCCGCGCTGGATTCTGCGTCTCTTCCGCGAGCATGTTCTCTAATCTCTTCCAACGATTGAGGCTTCTCTTCCACACGCTCGCCCTGGGAAAGTGATCAAAGAGCATGTTCGCGGAAGAGATGCAGTCCAGCGCGGAGCGGAGATGCTGATGCAAGCGACACTGCTTCTGATAAGCCCTGTAGTTGCAAAAGTTTCATGAAATATCAAGCGTAATGAAGAGTAGAGCAAAGCAAGAAGGATTCCGGAGAAAAATAGCAGGAAGACAGTAAAGAGGTGAAAGAATGTAACTCAGGAAGATGGGACACAAAGAGATTCTTTATATGAGTATAAACCTGTCCTAAGCAATAATTTACTCTGGCTTGGACCGATACGTATGAGAATAAGATGAAAATAGTCGGTGCAAAATGCTTCTCGTGTTCCATTTGATAGATACCATCGAAAAGATCTCCAAAGACGAGCATGCCACCCGCTGTGGGGAAAAAAACAACGCTTCTTTGTTCGGCTTGTTTTGGGGTAGTTCAGCCAAAAATGACACCAAAAATCGCGCGGAACTTCGATCATCAACGGTATTCTATATTTCCTTGTTTGTCGAATTTCTCTGTGACACTCTCCGAAACAAGACTGTACACAAAACAGGGTCATTTCGCTGTGAATGTGCGCACTTAAAGAATAGCACAAAATCTGAGTCCTCCCCAACACTGTCACTCGTGATTATGTCTGTGAGAGAGAGTGAGAAGGGCTACGGGTAGCCATTTAGAAGAAGAGTACAAAAAATCCTGCATTGAGCCCACCGTGTGAGGCTGAAATTCATTGATGTAAACATTTTGGAGGTATCTAGCTTTGATGGCCGTTGAAAGCCAAACATTGTCTTGGTTGCATGCCACAATCGCATAGCCTGACTTCAAACGCCCAAGCACTCGCTACAAAGACTGACCCCTTTGGTCTCATGCCAAATCATAGCTGATAGATCCGATGAAATATAGGGAAAAAGTATATAGTAGTGAAACTTCAGGAAGGTTCATAGGATGTGAAGAAACAAATGGCGGAAGTCATAATAAAAAGGGACAATAAGACCGCCAGTCCTTGAAACAAGCGTTATTTCCATTGGCACTTCCTTTTGAATAAATTCCAATTTAGACACGTCAGCATGCTAGTCACAATTATCGTAGGCTGTAGTGAAGGCTCAAAACAAATACAAACGACTGAATTAGGAAATTGAGATGCATTGTGCAAGCGCAAAATGAGTGTACTTCAATCAATGCCAAAGAATGACATTGCTGAGGAAGAATGAAGCTTATTTTAGTTTTTGACTATGCTTCTGCGTGATTACAGCGACTAGTTTGCTGTCAAAATACTTCAAGCTTGCAGGTCCAGACACAACTGGCCTCGGAGCGGCAGCATTCGTTGTATTCATGCGAACAACCTGGGAAACAAACAAACAAAGTATGCATAGATGCGAATTATTGCAAATATCCTCGATAAAACAAGTGAAAATTTGAAAAGATCAATGAAATTATTTATTGAGACTCATCAATGAATCTTATATATAGAGCTGAATGTCTGTTTGTCTGTCTGTATGTATGTATGTCTGTATGTCTGTACGTATGTTCCGAATAGAAAGTTCCATTTCTGAACCGATCCGGATCAAACTTTGCACGCATACACTTCGGGGCCGGGCGGATGTCATAGGCTACTTTTCGTCATCAGTCGATATCGATTTTATTGATATTTCAAAAAGTTCGAGCTACGGGGCTGGGAGTTGGCACAAGGGGATAAGTGGGCATGCTGATTACGAATATATTTTTGACAGGGCCGGGCGGAGCCGGGTTTGCCAGCTAGTACAAATAAGTAGAAAGAAATTAGGATTCATTACGTCTCACAGTGTGCAATCCCGCCGTAGACAATGCGTATAGCGTGTTCTCATCGAGCACCTGAATTTAGTCTATTTGGCGTGAAAAAATTAATTCAAATGCGGAAAACATATCTTCGCATTTCAGTTATAAACACAAATAAAAGCCTCTCGATATACAAGCGTGACTACCTTCAATTTAACAAGTGGAGCATTAATTTGAGTTATCCACGATATTTCGTGGCTGAATAGATCACAGTTCAACGAGTAGAAAAGTATTTTCTGTAAACGTTGAATTTACAAAGCAACGCAAACAGCAACGAAATTCACATACCCCAGAGTATGTCGCAACAGCTATCAAATCATTCATCACGCATGCAGACGTATCGTCAGTGCTTTGCTGCGACTCTCTTACCATACAAGCAGATGTGATAGAATCGTACTGCTCGGATTGTTTCAAGACAAATTCGTGATTCCAGCACAGAAAATCACCCTTAATAATTGCTTATTGGTGAAATCAAGAAAATAACAAGGAAACAAAAAAAACACGAACCTCAAAATTGCATTTCCATACGGCTACAGGTCCGAGTGTAGAAGATATAGCCAAATAACGTTCCTCATAGGTCTTAGAACTTTCACTGGCATCAGCTTCGTCAGACGGAGTACTTAGCGTACGACAAGAGATGAATTGTACTACAGAGATGGGCCCAGAGAATTTTATTAGTTTTCTGGAGCGGAGAAAATATGACACGATGAATTCAGACTCCAACTTACCTATAAACTATATTTGTATCCGCATCAAACACCGAAAGAAACACATGGCCAGTATCGAAACCCAGCGCACTCCACCGTAACCTTTCCGTCGAAATGAGCGAAGATCGCGTTACAGCGCCAGGAAATGCATCCAGCGTCAATTCAGGGAATACCACCAGAGGGTGTACAACTCTTTCTACCTTGCAGATACTTTGCTAAAAGTTCGAGAAATTTTTTCAACGTAGTTCACAGAACAACTCTGCAGAAAACAAGATCAATATTTCATGTACTGTGCAGTGAGATGCAGTAGTACAGCGCACCACCAAAAAAAGAATTCAAGGAATGAGTACCAAAAAGCAAAAATATAAATATGGAAGAGAACTTCGTTCCCAAAAAAGGGATTGAACTTCTAGCTATATGCATCAAATGTGCAAATAAACATGTACAGTAAAAACAGCTCATAAACTACAAGCCTCACCTCAATTCTATACACTGCCAAAATATCTCCAGCTTCGTATACGACCCAATATTTTTGCTGGAGAGCATCTACTCCTCTTCCTATTATAGAGCAATGAGCAACTGGCGCTGACGCCTCTACCTAAACCAAAACCAAGATAAAACTCTCCTATAAATAAATTACGGCAGGTAGGATGTAAGCTCCCACAAGACCTACCTTACTCGTCAATTCCACATGAAGTGTAGACGATATTCGAAACAAAGCTCCAAAATTCCGACATGGACAGAAATGCTCATTCAATTCTACCCAGCTACAAAAAAGAGATATGACACTACTTCAACGAGTATACGTGCCAACTAACCACGTCGCTAATACAGCAAGAGATCCTTCCTCCTCCAAAGGCGAAATATCGCCACAAGACAGTTCTATGGAATGCCCACTTTTCAAAGTCTACAAACAAAGGATCAGTCTCCTCATGATTTCAAAAAAGAAAAAGAGTGTACCTCATCTAGAAGTTTAGGTAGACAAACGACTTTGTTTTCCTCAACAAATAAAAGTCGACCATAAGCACTGATTAAACAAGTTTGTACACATGCTGGAACATCGAAACGAGAAAACTTCGAAAAGAAAAGTAAGTTCCAGGTATACGCAAATTACAGAAAATATATTACCGTTACTCGTGCTTGCATTCTTCTGCACTACAAAAATTTGATTTGATTCCGTGAACGACAAAAACTTCCTCTCCGTAAAAACAAGATCATTATTCTCCTGAAGTTACATACTAGATAGAAAAATGAAAAAAAAACCTGCAAATCGCTTACCAGAGGCAGATCTAACGGTAATGCCATTTATTCAACTTTCTCCTTCTTAGCAGGAGTTTTCGCAACAACTTCTTCAGTAACTGCTTCTGTACCGTTTTCTATAGCGGCTTCGTGTTGCTTCTAAAAATTTAACAATGATTTGAAGGAATAAGAAAACGCTCCCGAATGCACGCAATTTGATAAAAGCTGCTACAAACAAAGAAGTGCACTTCCATGTTTTCAAAATCATTATTGACGGGCGCGGAATTGTGCATACAACAGCAGTGCAAAAAGTGCGGAATTGTGCAATGCAGCATGATTTTTTTATTAATCGCTAAATAAAACTGCTTCGTAAAAAACACACCTGAACGTGATCGCTTTTCACAAGATGAACCAGCTCTAGTTTGTTGATAGCGCAAGTCTGTGGAGCTATCACTCTTCTCAAATAATTTGGAGTAATAACAATATCAGCAAAATCGTCGTCAAAACCCGAATGTTCAGGAATACTGGATGTTATGAGTTTGAACAGCTAGAAAAAGGTATACAAATGAGCTTAAACATTGATTGGAGCAGGTTTGAAAATAATGAACTCACCTGTTGGTCTCTGTAAGTCGCAATGTCACTGAGAAACTGCTTTGCAGTCGCCTTTTTTGGATCTTTCAAAGCTTTCAACCTATTCTCTAGAAATAAGAAAACGATTACATGTCGTGTAAAGACTACTCTGTAAAACGTGACCAAATAGCTCACCAAGAAGTGCCAGATATTCCTTATCTATTTCTCGTTCTTCAGCTTTCGCGAGCAATTCCTTATTAACTACTCTCTCTTCAGCTTCCGCAGACATTAGTCGACAGAAGGAAAAATGGTTTCAGGAAGTTTGCAAAAGCGCAGTGATGTGGACGTTGAAGCTGTAAATTTCATTGACGAACTCCATTGCTGGGGAACAGTAAAGGACCGGACATACTTCAAGCGATTTGGCAATTCGCCAGAAGTCTTCAGACTCAACACTAGCAAAGTGCACGTGCACACTGTGTATGAGCTACGTGGATTGATAAAATGCCCTATCTCCTGTACATTTAAAATGTGATTACAGCGAGTTATGGACAGTTGGAATATTGCCAAATCGCGTTGCGACTGAAAACGCGTGAAGTATGCCCGGCCCTTAATTATTCACTGGCGATTATTCACTGGCGATTTTTTAGACAGAACAGGGTTGGATAAAGTCAAACGACAGCGATCACCGATCAGATAGTCGCGAAGCCGGGCGAAGCAGCGATCGAGAGCATACATTATCACCGCAGCGCATGCTGCGAAATTGTCGAGTTCAAGAATGTCAATGAGGGGAAAGAATTTGCGAAAAAGCATTCTATTGATCCGCTCATTCCACTAGATCCGCTTCGTTATTGGCCAATTCAATGAACTGACCAATAGCGAAGCGGTCGTCCATTTGATCCGCTTGATCCATTTCATCCACCTTACTATTGGTCAACTTAATAAACTGACCAATGACGAAGAGGATCAAGCGGATCAAGCGGATGAAATAGATTAAGCGGATCAAGTATGGCGCGTGCCTATGTTACAGGGAATCTCTGCTTACTTGGAACAGATACGCTTTGTTAATAGCTCTTCCCATGATGCCCGCTCTAAAATTTGCTGTGCCGTGAATGGCTCCTCGCTGAACAACGGGCGCCCCTATTATCTTCTCAAACGTCTCAAGATCCTGTAGGACACATAATATCGTTTGATCAAGAAGAAGGAGTCGCGGGTACCAATGTAGAATTTTTTACTGGACTGGTGCTTGGAGTTGTTCTACAAGGAAGGACGTCTTCACCGAACTGAGTAAAGAACCTTTCTGCAACATCGACCCGCGCGACGCGCACCCTCAAGTTATCGATGTTTCATTGCGCGCAGTTTGGCGAGTTGCTAGAACCGTTCAAAGACACTATCCAGCAGTCTACAGCGCATTTTGATTCCTTTCCGCCTTTGACTTTGAAATCATTAGCTAACATGCTTCACATTATCGTCAAATCATGAAGAGTTGCAGTTAATGATCAAAAACGTCAAGTAAAGTTTCCTGTATTAACAGCTTCACGAGAAATTACTCTCTACACATAAGAATTTATTGAGATTTATCGTCGATTCGTTGACCGCACGGACTGCTCAAACCTTGCGGACCACGCGCGACGCGGCTGAATTGTCGCGAGAGCACGATCTGTACAATGGCGAATTTGTACTAGGCCAAGCGTTGTACCTCGCGGCGCGTGCTCCGCAGTGATGTCCGGTCCGTGCGGTCAACGAATCGACTATACATGCCGAGAAGGCCTACATGTATACAACAATGGAAACTTCCGATAAAAGACAGAAAAACAATGGAATCATTGTAATGCTGTAAAAAACACAGAGTAAACAAATGCCTGAGATTCAACAGTATCACCTCTAAAATCTGATCCGTACAAAATGTAAGAAAAGAAATTCTTGCATGCTAGGAAAAGATAATTAAACCGACAAGTTCATTGCTGAGCAGATATTTGTGAAATGAGGAGCAACTTTGTAAGATCATCAGGACAACGTATGTACAACAATAACTAATCAAAGTAGGTTAAATCACAAATCCGCTGCGAAGTTACGTTTATGGCTACCAACCATGTGAAGATCCAATCCGAGCAGTGTATGGAACATGTCATAACACTAAAAACAAAAGTTGAAAGGTATCTGAAGTGCAGTTCTCGCAAGAAGCAACTGAAATGGCTGGAAACTCACTTCTTCACACTCTCTTGACTTTTGGTGAAACACTCTTTTATGAATGAAATCCGTATCTTCGTTGCGGAAATATAATTTACATTCTTCGCAGTATATAAATGATCTGTAATTGTCAGTTATAGAGCGGAAACTACTTTTATTTCAAAATTATACCCGTCTTCACAGGAAGCGCTAGTATGTGAAGCCATCTGGTGCCAGACTTTGCTCACAATCGTCTTTTCTTGAGCGAGCGAAACAGCGAAAGCTGATGTCCTCATAGATTTCGTTGCTTGAGCGCGCGACAGTATGGTATCTGGAACAAAATCGATTACTCAAAAATGTGCAGTTTAGCACCAAAATTCAAAAGTAGTTCATAAAGGGAGAGGTAATCGTACATTCGCGCAAATAACCCGACAGTTTAGTTAATACAAAACAGAAGAAACCCACCAATCTTATCCAACCAAGCTGTGGTAATATCCACTATAGCAGGATGAGATCGTCCTGGACATAGCTGGAGGCGCACTCGCAGTACTCCTCCTTGTTGCAAAAAACATTGCCATCCACACAAGAGCAGATGCTGAAATCCTTATGTACATTTACACTTTTATAACAAGGAAGCGGAGTTTTTTTCAGCAGAATATACTTGTTCTTCGAGTTACTTTGCAAAAAGTTCAGGCAATGCAGCTAAGAAAAAAAAAGCTCAACGCAATCGATCCTTTCTACCTATTTTTGTGACCAACGATAAACAATACCCTGATAAACTGATCTACCAGCAAAAAGACGCCTGTTCTTGAAAGTTTTCAAGAGAAGTTCATCAGCAGAGCATTAAATCGTTGGCGCATAACTTACAAAACGATCGGCAATCACGGGGAGGGGCACATCGCGAGCCTGACCGCAAACATCTGCCATTTTCATCATTGTTTCCACATAACGAGATGTAATTATTACTTGCACTTCACCCGAAAGGTCCTGAAGATGATAGCAATATTACGAGAAAATTGGAGATTTTCGCAGATGATAACAGTTCAACTCACAATTTCCTTCTTGATCTCAGCCTTTGACAAAGTTCTTCGATTTCTCAGTTCCTCACAAATTTCAACAACCGCTTCTTTTACCGTATCCACAAACTTAGTGATTTTCAACATACTTACCTAAAAAAAAACAATGAATTTGACTACTTCAGAACTCGAAACTCACATGATGTGAGTCCAGCGTCAAGGCAAGTAAACCATTTTCAGGAAGTCGATTGAGCAGCATCGAGTTGAAAGAGTTGTAGTCCAGACCTATGGAAGATAAGTAGATTTCTCTAGCTGATAGTTTCAAGCAAGATATTCACGATGTCGATATTGCAGAGGTGTGGCCAGTTCGAAAATGGTGGTAAAATTTGCTGGCAGTGTAGACGGTTCGATATCCTCTAGTGGTGCTGAAAAATTGCAAATGAATGTAGAAGAGACAGCGAAGCTTACTCGAACTAATGCTACAAAAGGACTTCAAAGAGAAAGTCGAATAATATCCACCGAAATAGGGCATAACAGGATCGAAGAGATTCAGCACGAACTGAGCGAATGTTGCCAGATTCACGGCGGACAGTGCTAAACGAGTTGATGTCGTTACTTTCAAAGCTTGGCGCAAGAGGCAATCCACTCACCAGATGCCTCTCCGATGATAATATCAAGCGCTAAAGCATCGAGCATCTCAGCAATGTCCGATGAAGAAAATCCTACACAACAGGATTGTAACAACTCTTGATGATACCAGTATGCAAAACTTACTAGAGCTCACATCTTCTCGATTACAATCTGGAAGTGTTGTTTCTGCACTTCGATTATTATCCAGTTTGATAGGCACAAAACTTGCAGTAATTTCATCATCGACTCTATAACAGTTTAGCATTACAAATCGCATTTGCTTTAACAAACAAGAAAAGATTCAGCTCAACTAACACTAGTATAGGAGGAGTAGGCGATCTGCTACGTCGACGAGATAGGCCACTGAAGACATGTAGGAAAATTTGCAAAGCATGAAAAGTAAGCACATCAATGCAACATAGCAACATAAAACTTTTGCTATAGCGATCCGAAGCGACGACACTATATACAATCCCCTTTCATCAATTCAATAATCCTACAACAAGCCATGCATGCTGTATGGATAGCTGTCATCCAAAACTTTGAAAACATTTTGGAATGCCTGTAGCTCCCACAATCTCAAGGAAGGGATGTGGCATTTTAACAGAAATAATGTAAGTTTTGATAGAACTTCAGGGAGAGCTTGAGCACTCATAAGTAAACATAAGTCAGCACAAAATGATAGTTTATGTGGACCACTTGCAAAGATTTCGCCCTACACCTGCCCTTGCCTACGCCGCTGTATTTAGCTTCCCGTACACACGTTTTCCTGCCGAGATGAGAAGTGCTAAAGAAGAGTCTTACAGTCTGTCCCAATCGGGATCGGGCCGAATCACTGGCTTAAATTTGCGAGCTCCCAACGCTAGGGTCTGCGTTACATATGTGCGCTCTCGAAGATATCAGATTGAAAAGAGAGCAGACAAGCTAGCCACAGACGTGACGCAAAACCCTTGCGAGCCAGATTCATATCATGCCAGTTGAAGTCTGTTTGGGATTGGGAAAGACTATACCTCCCGATGCTCTGCGATGGGTCATTAAATGATTAAAGGCAGCGTCCAAGCAGATCTGGACCTATGGGGATTTTACGTGAAAAGTACTACTGGGGCCCTAACTAAGGACTGCTCAAGCGGAAGCACAGGTAGTGCTCTAACGGCTGAGATATCCCCCCTCGAAACTGGACCCCGCGATCGTATTCGCATGATGTTTCATGGCAGTTTCGTCAGGACCCACGCTTTCCGCCATGAATCCATGCGAAATAAGATCGCGGGGTCCAGTTTCGAGGGGAATATCTGTCGTTAGAGCACTACCTGAGTTGCCGGTTGGCTTAGTTAGGGCCCCAAAATTACTATCCACGTGAGATCCCCATGCGTCCTTTCGTACGCTGCCTTTAAGAGACGCGTTGTGAGAGCAAATTTTGCAATCATGTATATTTTCATGTAAGGCCGATTCCGAAAATGATAAAGCTGTCCCGAAAAATAATAAAGTAAAACGACAAAAGATTGATAAAACATAATGGTGTACCTTTTGACAAAGATGATATCGCCTTCTCCACTTGGAGCTTCGGCAGATGGGGACTTGGCCGTATTAAGGAGTCTTAACATAGGATCTGTTCAAAGTTATCCTAACTAGCCATGATAGAAAAATACCTTGGCTCTGACTGAGGTAGTGATGTTGAAGTTCCAGAGTTTGAGCTTGCTGCAAGTGTAGATCTCTTTAGCGTAGACGTCACATCTAATATATTCTTCAGAACAACTGATGTGTCGCTCGCTCGACCTTTCCTCGAACTCGGCTTTTCGGCTGCAATCGTTCTCCTGCGTCTGAGCGTGGTTTTCTCAACATCGACAGCAGCCAATTGGGAGGTAACTGGCTCGCCAGTCTTTCTTCGCTTAGACTTTCTTGGCTGCACATCCTCATGCACTTCCCTTATCTCCAAAGGTCTTGGAGGCTCCTCTACGCTTATAACGAGATCATTCAAATCCTCCACAGGAGTTGCTGGTTTTCGCTTTCCTCTAGTGCGAGATGCTGCAGTTTTGGCTCCACCTTTTATCACCGGAGAGGTATGAGCCCGTTCAACGACTGGCCTCGTCCTTCTTCGTTTCGGGGTTTCCGCCGGCTCAATGTCTGGGACTGCATTTATCTTTCGCTTTCTTTCTGTGCGAGTAGCGTCTGTGGAAGGTGTACGCGCAGACTTACGACCTTTACCAACTGTCAAATTCTTTTCAGGTAGTAAGCTACTTCCATCCGGTTGAACTTCATCATATATTATGAACTCTTCTTCAATAGCTTCTGGCTCCAAAGGTGTCTCAAACTCGAAAGGAATAATTTCAGGTACTACTCTTTCCTTTCGCTGTTCCTTCTGCAGCTCCAGGGTGCTCTGAGGTTCCTTGTGGCTCACTTCAAGATTCTTCAGCGACAAAGGTGAAGCTGCAGATACTGCAACCTCAGCAAGTAAATCCAATCCAGTGTCGGTGAACAGTTCTAACCTTCTTGGATCTCGTAATAGAGGTGCACAGCACGCAAACGAAACCTTCTCGGCAATCTTGAGCGGGAATCGAATTTCAACACCAAGTTTTCTTGTAGGCGTGCTGAGCACAGTAGTAAACACACTCTTCTGCGACTTTATTATCGGGCTTCGTTTCTTGGTAGTCTTTGGCTTCGATGTTGACAACTCTGCTGATGATGATGTGCATGGCAAAGACATTGTGGTGGGAGCGATTTCCAACTTATGTAGCTTTACCTCCTTAACTTTAGCATGCCGAGCTTGTGAGGCTTTTCTGACAGACGTAGGTGTGGCATCCAAGCTGGTAGACGGTTTTTCCAAGGCCAAACTACTGCTCTCGTGAATGACCGATTTGTTTCTCCTTACTGGCTTGGGTGCGGAAGTCGCAGGCTTCTTGTGTATCTCCGACACTCTCTTCTCGGATTTGACCAAATGCTCAAGTTTTCTGCCCCTTTCCGGTGTCGTATGCACAACTTCTGCGTTCTGCTCCTTCACTGATCTTTTTCTTGTAGTCACTGTTGCAGATGATGTAACACTCTTCTTCCTGATTGACCTCTTCACCGGTTCCGGAACAGTTTCAGGACGCGACTCCGCTTCTGCAAGGAGCGGTGCCAAAGTTGTTTCTACAAGCGGAGGTACCAAAGTTGTTTCTACGAGCGGTACCGAAGTAGTTTCTGGAAGCGGTACCAAAGATTCTGGCAAAATGTCAGCTGCACTTGAAGGCACATGCACGTCCTCAACAATCCCAAGCGGCTCTTTCACAACGAGATCCTCATCGTCACAGATAACAAGACGGTCGGGCGAATCTGATAGACCACTGCATTCGGAGCGGGGAATGGTTGGGACTTCAAGTTGAGTGTTGAGATCACTTGCCACTTTCGTACTGTCTGATACATCACTCTGCTACAAATCGCAATACATATAACGACGAATCACAATTGAGATCATTGTACCTGCAATGCAGCAGCCTCCCATGTCTCAGAACCCTTCAATTCCCTCAAGCCTTGAAATTGTGTAGCCGTCGTTGACTGGAAACATTGGATTGCCTGCAGGATATAAGTCTCCTCACTTACTATTCTTGACAAAAGAGGACGAGGTGGTGATGCTTCGATGTACTGACTAGGCATAGCTCCACTTTCGAGAAGCCGCAACACTTCATGTAAGCTATCAGCTCGTTTTCTGGTCGTAGTCGCATTGGCACGGCTTCGTCGTGTTTCATGAGCACTATGGGCTGAAATGTGCACTATCTGAGCAGGGTATCTTGAAGCAGTTTGATGAAGAATCATTACAGACGTGTCAGGCAAATCTAGGAGCATGAACCATGTGAACGTTGTTTGGAGAATCCTGACCAAGCCATCGCACAAGCAGCAGCTCATATGATTTGCCCGCGGCTGAGAAAATGGCTCCATACTCCAGCTCAAATTTACTCTTCCCCAACGGACAGATACCGTCCTCGAGTACGGTAGAAAGTACGATGCGGGCCGAAGTTCAGGTAAGTTTTTCAAACACGAAAATATTATATGCGCTGCTCTTCGGCATTTGCACAATCACTTCCCAATCCATATCTATACAGGGTGTCCCAAAAAAATGTATCGAACGTTTGATCGTTAATATCTCTCTTCCCAAGAAGTCTTTTGCCTTGCTTTAGGTATCGTTTTGTAGAGCTGGCTTCAACTTAGATTTGCAGTATGGAGCGATTCACCCATCTCTCTTCATTACTGTAGGATTACGGTAGAAACTTGAAACATATGGTGTCAATGTGGAAAAAGCTGCCTTTTAAAAATTTATCAAAAAATTGTGGAAACTTGTGTAATAGGGTTTTTATGGACGCTGAGTTCAATACTCAACTATTCACAAGATTACGAAGCTTTCTAAACGATGTAATCGCACTTTTTAGGAACCTTGAAAAAAAGGCCGCTACCTCTCACCTGGCATAACTCTTCAGTGAAGCATCATAATAAGTTGGGAACTTTACAGTTATAATCAGCAACTTTAATTAGCCTAGTGTAAAAGCTTTCAGGCTGTTTTGTTTCTTTTCTGAGGCAAAAATTGGCCTTTCATTGCTTAAAACCCTCTTTGAAGTTTCTATCGTAATCCTACAGTAATGAAGAGAAATGAGTGATTCGTCCTATAATGCAAATCTAAGTTGAAGCCAGCTCTACAGATTGGTACCTGAAGCAAGGCAAAAGACTTCTTGAGAAGAGAGATATTAACGATCAAACGTTCGATACATTTTTTTGGGACACCCTGTATATGAATCGTAGGTAAAAAGATCTAAAAAGGTCTCTTTCCATACTGTTTCCAATACTCACCTCTGCAATGATATCTTGCAGTGCGTAAGTTCTTATCTATCCATGTTGATTTTGTACTATTTCCTACTTCGTCTACAAAGAACTTGAAATATTGTTTGACTTCACGCAAGCTGGGCACTGTAATAAATTATCGTCAGTGAAGTGATTTGCACAGTCACAATCAAATCGTTAGATATAAATCTACCCGACGAAGTAAGTGCTACTCTCTCGGAAGATACGGCAGGCAATATCGTTTCACTCGTGGCAGTGGAGTACTTGTTTTTGGCGACTTCCCAAGGAACATCAAGTCTACGATTTTCGGGTTCTAGAAAAAGTGAAATTTCGATTTTACACTGCAAGTGCTGCTTGAGAGAAAAGAGTCGAAATTCTCGCCTCTGCAAGAGATTGAAGCTACTTCTTGCAAGCAATCGCGCACACTGGTCAAGCTACTTTCGCACAATGGGTCACTTTCAAGGGATACTTCTTTAACAATTGCAGTATGTGTTGGAGCTAGAAACAAGCAATCATACGACTGATAACAAACAAAAAACAAAGAGTAACCAGAAGCTGAATATCCCAAAATAATATATTTACCTTTCACAGACAAAGCGATGTTTTCAACGACTCGATCGGCGAGCTTCAAATGACAACTTTCGGTTACGATCTTTACATCTACAGCTTCGCATTGAACTGCGCAATTTTCTACAGTCGACGCTAAAATCAGCGAACAAACATTGATCACTTCGCGACTTAGCACAACATATGTGCAAACCTTTAGTTTTTAAACTTGTAGTATAGCTGCAACGATCTTCTCGCACCTCCGAACAGTTAAAATTTTCTAGCTTGTTGTTCGGCACATTGCAGTCCAGAAAGCAATTCTCAACCTTTGCAGCTGGAAAAAGAACAATCCAACGTATATCTGCAAACACAGACATGTAAATGATCGTATTAAGATCAAAAGCGACCCCTACTGACATACGTGAACTGACGTTAATTGTAAATAACAATAAGGGAAACTAGGAAAAGCCCGCTTCATTGAAGAATTGGAAAATTCAACGGACTGAACCAAAAGCAAACTTTCATCCTGAAACGTTAATGCAACGCAGGCTTTATCCCAGTCCACCCATTGTGACAAGTTCAACCTCATCCTCCAAGTCATCTTCAACAAAATTGATATTCACTTGATCGTCCGATTTTGCCGCTTGTGTGTCAATCTACTATATTTTCCTGCCAAAAAATTTGGATGCAGTTTTCTAGTGCTTAGTTTAAATGAGTATTCACCATCTCCCGAATAATTGTTTATCATTATAGACTGCATGAGATAGATTTAGGGGCTGTAGATGCAAACAGTAAAGACGATGCAAAGTTTTTTTGTTGTTGTAATACTATCTCAACGAGTAGAAAATTTGTAGCAAAAAGTAGACCATAAGAGACTACCATATTATCTGCAGAAGTACTAGCCCCTCACCTTTTGTCTCCAAAAATACACGCAGCCGTTGGCTACCTACATGCTCTACAAGGCAAAATCCATGCTCCCAGTTTTGATCTGTGAAAGCGCAATCCGCGAAAGTATACCTGGTTACAGTTTCTAAAAAACCTCTGCTTTTGTGAATATGAGAGTAAACGGAAACGATCGATTATATGAGAGAAAATTTTAACCTCGGCACGTTAGTGTAATGCTGTCTTCATCCTCCATAACTAAATCACAGATGACTCCATCCTCATCCTCCAAAATATCGGCCACAATATTCATATTCGAATTTATATTTTCAGTTCTTGTCGCTGAAACTATCCTCTAGTAATACACTATCAGACTGCCCAAAAACAGACGCTTACCTGGAACGGTGAGCGAATTCTGTACGTATCGAGCTCCCTTCCTTCTCGTGAATGCAGCGCAATGGGGAAACTTCCGTGCAAATTCAAAATCTTTGTTCACTTCTTCAAACTTTGGTGCTATAAGAGGTAGTGAAGGAATGAAAAGTCGCTCATACAAGAAGGTTAGAAGTCAAACCTTGTACAGTCAACGCAACGTGCTCCCTAGGAAAGACAACTCTAGAGACTTCCTGGAAAGGTGAAGTTGCGCGAAAATATGTAATCAAGTCGATGTTATACGTCCACGACTGCGGATGCCAAATGCATACATCTGGCGGAGTCATCTCCTAGAATAGTGTGGTCAGAACATAGAACAATCAAGCTTCTTAGCTAAACCCCTATCATACTTTCATCATTCAAAATCAAAATGTACGAACTTTATTGGTAACTCACATCACTGTCTATACTGTAGTTGCTAGGACTTGATGCACCCTCTTCTCTTCGCAATTCACTGATTTCGTACAGTATATTGACATCGATATTGGTATCCGAGAGTTCCGATCCAGCTACGCTATCACCTTAACAGCGAATTGGAAAGCATACGAAATGATCTAGCTGATCACTACTAAAAGCATGACTCTCACCATCAAAAGGTTCAACATAGTGCCGCTTGAATTTTGTTGTTGTTCGCGCGTCAGTAAATTCGGCAGCAACATCTTCTTTCATCAACTTGCTGATCACCTCATTCATTTCGCTGTCGGGGGCTGAGAACGAACATGAAGTATGCCAATTACTGAATATTTCAAAACACTGTCACTCAGAGAAGTACAGGCCTTGTAATACCCAATTGCCCATTAATCCATTTTGTTCTCAGCATTGCACAGCATATTGCAGCCAAAAATGTCTTCAAAAGTTCATAAAAATGCGCATAAAAGAGGTGCGCGCTCATTATCACCTGTGATTAGCATATCGCGCCGGGACCCCACGTCTCCAGCCTCCGCGCGTTGGTGTCCAAAGGAGGCGCGGGAAATCGGATTTTACAAGGCTTATAACTCTATCAAGTATTGAACAGCCTCTTGAAGTAGTCTGTGCAACAAATTTAGGATCTACCACTTAATACAAATTGAATAGCTCACCTAGCTGCGAAACTGCCTCGTCAATTTCTGTACCCGAAGTTTGTAGATTTTCCACCTCAGAATCTCCACACTGTGAGGAAGTATTTTGAGAAGACCTTTCTTGTTCCTTTTTTGCCTCAAATTCAGCTCTTAAACGTCGCTCAAACTCTTCTCGACCCATGAGTGGTGCAAAACTTCTGATAGTTGTTGTTGATGGCACTTCGCAACAGCTTGCCAATTGAGCTTCGAAAGATGCGATATCACGACGAATTTTTTCCTCCTTGCTGATATCTTTAGGCTTGGATTTCTCCGATGGTTTGGAAGATGGCAGGCACGTCTCTTCCTCACTTTTCTTGTTGTCAAGAACTGGAATGGCAGCATCTGTGCTTTCTTGAGCATTGCATGATGCGCTGGGAGCGTCTGCTTCTTCGCTCTCAGGAGTTTTACAAGGGTCCAGAGAACTCCTGTCGCTGACCGTTTCATCATCAGAGATCTGAATCAAATCGATCATGAACCCAAAAAAAGAAATGCAAGTGATTGCGCACCTCACAGATCTCCAAAGAAGCGCGCTCTGATTGAAAATTTTCGAGCTCAGTCGTACTGACACCACCAAGAAGTAGCTGAATGTGCTTGTTTTTGTCATCTTCAAATCGTTCTCTAGCATCAGTACCACGAGCTAAAGGTGTGAATTAGAGGTATATCACTGGTAACAAGTCTAGACTACATACATAATGGTCCTAGAAGCTTATCGCGCGAAGCAGGATACAGTAAGTTGAATGTGTTGAGATCTCTAGCACTTCGTGAGCCGTTCCCACTTCGAATTTGCTCCGATGTCAGCCTAGCGGATTTGCTCACGTAAGCGTCCGGATAGCGACCTGATACGATTAGCAAAGTGATAATGTGGTCAAGATATCAATACAATAGGCGAATCAAAATTCTGATGCGCCCATAGCTGTCTACGGCAGCAAAAAACGGAGTTTCTAAACTTTCTCAAAACTTTCTGATCCGAGTTTATGCAGATTTTTTGGCCGAGCATTCAACAAGAAAATGAAATGTGCTCTCAGACAAAATTTGGAAATGATATAAAGACTCACCCAGCTCGTGATAATCATATTGTGAACTATCTTCATTGTCCACAAAATCTGACCCTACCACGTAATCTGAACAGATATTGGTAATACTATACTTCCACGCAAATGAACGTGATAACTCACAGGCACCTCCTGCCAGATCCATATTCGATCTGTGGCATGCACGCGCCAGATGCACGGCTTCTGGCCATAGCGGTAATCCTAATTCGATTGCCTTTTCAACCTGAAGGCCTTATTCAGCAAAACCAGAAAAGTGTTCGCTCGCTACATACTGCATGCCTAGTAGTGTGACGATCATGTAGCAGCCATAATGTGGAAAGTTCTGAGGGAGATAGTTGCTTCACCATTTTTGGTTCATTCATTGAATGGGCATAGTAAACAACAGCTAAAAGAATCTGTAATTAGTCAGGAAAAAGAAACGAACTCACTTAACTACCTCATCTGACTGTATGTTTACCCTGTAAGCAAGACACCCATTGATACCGAACTAAAATAACAAACCCTGAAATGTAAATAATGTAAAGAGATAAGAGACATGCGCACTGAGGGAGCATCGTGCCTTTCGATTTGTGCTGACAACATGTAATAACAACATGTTGCCAACACATTGTTGCATGTTGCCGAGACGTTATCTATGCGCAGCGCAGATCAGAACGGCAACGGGGCAGCACGAAAGGAACAGATGTTATGTTAGATTGCTAAAAACTCGCTTGTTTGAAGAAGAACTTAACCATTGCAAAATCTAACAAGAGAATTTTAGGCGTGCATTCATTCATTCGTCCGCAATTGCGGAATATAAATAATTTGCACGGCTACTCCCTTGGATCTGGAGCGCTGGAGTTTTTACATGTCATACAAGGAAACGATCCCAACTTAAAGGCAGTGGCTCGGGAAAATCGCGACTGGGGCTTTTCACAACAACATGGCCTTCTGGACCAGCTGAGTCAGGTACTGTGCTTGAAATGTCAAGAAAGTGTTTTCTGGAGTTTACCGGCCTTGCAGAATGTTGGAGAGGCGGGGCGAGGGATTCCCTCCATAACCACCTAGTGACTGCAGGATGTTGTACATAACTTCACCTTTTTTGGCGGCAATTGGCTGATCAGCCCAGGCAATCAATACGATACAGTTGACGGTAATCCCTCGCCCCGCCTCTCCAGCAATCTCCAAGGTCGGGAAACGCCAAAAAAGCACTTTTTTGAATTTTCAAGCACAGTACCTGACTTACCGGAATGAACCGCAAATTATTGCATGTGTTCTACTTATATTCCCACATCTGCGAAGGTTCTTATTAGGGTGAACGGTAAGAATTGGGGCACCTTGAGAATAATTGTAGATTTCTCAAAAAAAAAGAGAAGTGGTTGAACTTTCTTACTTCGAAAGACATTATAATACCGGTGATTCAAAATACGCAAAGACTGGGCGCCCTTGCGTCCGAGCAAGATAGCTCGTGCATGGGACAGGCAGCAGATGGTAAGAGAAACGAAAGAGAGCTTGATTACAGAGACGCAGATGGGTCCGCAGTCTTTGCGTGCTACGAATCGCCTATACATTATTTTCTTTCAGGAACCACCTATATAAGGTCTTCTACATACCTAGTATTTAGAGACCCGTCATACTTCGCCGAAAAGAGCCCAAAAGCGCCCAAAAAGCCCGAAAAAGCCCAAAGCCCAAAAGCGCCCAAAGAAGCAAAAGCCCAAAAAAGCCCAAAGGCGCCAGAAAGAGCCGGAATATAGAAACGAACTTTTGGTAGAATTCTGACATTATCTTATCATGCGGACGACAGAAAATGACAAAAAGGCTAGATTGCGAAGTCAACGCACATGCCTTAGCGTCAAAACGTGCGAGAAGTGTTCCGGCTCTTTCTGGCTTTTTTGGGCTTTTTCGGGCTTTTTTGGGCTTTTTTCGGCGAAGTAGGACGCGTCCCTTATACTTGCTGAGTGCAAAGTCAATCATTTCGACAAATTATGAAATTCTAGCAGTATCTGCGCAGTGCAACATGCGAAACCATCCAAAGTACCACTGCTGGGACGGTATTTATCAATCTCCCACTCGCTGTGCGGGCCATTGTTATATAACGAGAGTCCGCACAGGCGAGAGCGCCCTTCCCGCGATTTATGGAACTCTGACATTCGTTTCGGATGAACGGCGCGCAAAAATAACGATTCTTACGACCCGCGCCTGTCGAGCGTATGAGCGGCGCGACATAGTCGGATTTGAGTACGAGCGGCGCTCGATTCGGAGTGTATCAGTACGAGCGGCGCGCAGTTGACAAGCAGTACCGGCCGCGTGCCTTTAAACGTACGAGCCGCGTACCACTAATTTAAGCTTCTGCAGCTCTTCAGGCAGGTCCACGTGTTGACGGCTACCATAGTCAAAGAAAGAAGTTTGAGTTTGTGCGCGATCATTATTTATGCATTCGTTATAATTTTCACATTTTTAAGTGCACAAAAACCATAGTGTAATTTTCACACGTTATAAGCGTAAAGAATACTTGCGTAAGGTACGACGCAGTGGTTAGGCTGCCCTCAATGCTAATTGACGTGAATGTGTTTACAATACTTACACAAGGACATAGTTGAAAAATGGTCCTCTAGACAATATTGGATAGCACCTTTGTGTTGCTCAATTTTGTAGCCGGACGTGAATTCCGAAAGTGCCATATCGATGGCGTTAGATAACACAAAATTGTCATACAGGGTGTCCCAAAAAATGTTAACACTGTTTGATCATTAATAACTCCTTTGCATTCATGTCTTTCGCCGGGCTTGAGGCACTATTCTGTAGAGCGAGGTTCAACTTAGATATTCAGTGTGGAGCGAATCACCGTTTGCTATTCGTTACTGTAGAATTACGGTAGGAAGTTCCAGCATGAGGAACCGTTGTGAAATATGCCATCTGACAAAACTTTTTCAAAAAATCTGAAAAATCGTGTACTGGGGTTTTCGCGCAGGCTGATTTCACTACACAACTTTTTACGAGTGTTTTCAGCTTTTTTGACGGTGTAATCACATTTTTGACACATGATGGGAAGTCAGTTATTACACTTTACCTAGGATGACTTTGAAAAGAAGTATCATAACGAAGTGAAAACTTCATATCCGAAATCAGCGGCTTCCATTACCATAGTGTAAGAGGTTTTGGCCTGTTTGTTTTGTTTCGAGGCAGATTATGACTTCTATTGGCCTAAAATCCTTGTCGAAATTCCTACCGTAATCCTACAGTAATGAAGAGCGAACGGTGATTCGCTCCATACTGTAAATCTAAGTTGGACCTCGCTCTACAGAATGGTTCCTCAAGCCCAGCAAAAGACGTGGAAGTGGAGAAGTTATTAACGATCAAACAGTGTTAACATTTTTTTGGGACACCCTGTATAAGCGACTAGCTGGCTTACCCGGCTCCGCCGTATGTTCCGAATAGAAAATTCCATTTCTCAACCGATCCGGACCAAACTTGGCACACATACCCTTCGGGCCCCGGCGGGTGTCACAGTCCACTTTTCGTTATCGATCGATGTCGATTTTATCGATTTTTTGCAAAATTTGAGCTACGGGGCTGGGAGTTGGCAGAGGGGTGTAATCGAGCATGCTGATCACCACCACGGGGGTGATCAGCATGCTCGATTACCCCCCTGTGCCAAATCCCAGCCCCGTAGCTCAAACTTTGCAAAAAAATCGATAAAATCGATAAAAGTAGTGCACGATTTTAAAAACTAATATTGTATTCGGAATCCCCATGCTCACTTACCCCCCTGTGCCAACTCCCAGCCCCGTAGCTCAAATTTTGCAAAAAATCGATAAAATCGATATCGATCGATACGAAAAGTAGCCTATGACACCCGCCGGGGCCCGAAGTGTATGTGTGCCAAGTTTGGTTCCGATCGGTTCAGAAATGGAATTTTCTATTCGGAACATACGTACAGACAGACAGACAGACAGACAGACATACATACAAACAGACATTCAGCTTTATATATAAGATTCAAGCACAATTACAGTACCAGCGGCGCCGAAGTGACAGCGTACCAGCGGCGCAAATTCGCGTATCACCCGAGCGCACTTAGCGGGCGAACGGCCATTGAGGAGTCCGCTCGTACGCAGAATTCGCGCGGCTCATACGGAACGAATGTCCAGGGTCAAGCGTGGAGTGCGGCACGCCACACATGGGGGGTCGTATTGAGGAGTCAAAAGGGGAGGGGGTCGTAGTTGGGTAATCTGATAATAGTATAACATGATATTCGTATCATATCCATAATTAGCGTCAATTAACCCCTGTAGACAAAGTGTGAGCGAATTCTGAAGATTCAAGATACTAGGCTACCTAAATGAAATGGTCAAATTCCAACATAGTTAGCTTTGTTTCAAAGGTGAATTAGCTATCCGTTTTTGCACTCAAGACGAAGCGCTACTCCTTCTTTGTCCACCTTAGGAATCCCGCTTCAGAAGACCTGCAAACTGTGGAATTAGAAGCCTAATTTTTCGCTTTTGATCGCTGTGCTTCCATCAAATATTTCTTAGAGCTATGATGACAAATCAGGCTCCAAACAGTCCTATGGAATCTACAAGGTTTAGGGCTATCGATTCATATAAATACTGTCCGCTAAAAATGTTTTTTTGATATAGTTAATGGGGTGCAGCACACCCCTTGAAAGCTGCGCCTGCCGCAGCTTTTAAGGGGGTGTGCCGCACCCCCTTAACTTGCCTTCAAAATCCAGAAAGCGCTCCATTGCTGGTATGAGTATTGAGCACATAGCTTCTTCTTGCTACATTGGAAATTTGGAGCCGAACGCCCCACCCATAAGAAAATTATGGCCCTTTCAATATGCCCATTCGGATCAAAATCAGCCGTCAAATTACGTGTGATTGTAAAGTGCAGTCACAGAAAATCGGGCGTAAAGCTCTCAGAAATCTGAAAACTCTCTAGAAAAAGATGGTGTCCTCCAGAATGTCACACTTTGAGGTCCAGAGGTTAAGAGGAGGAAGAAGGGCTCGTTTGAGGGCTTTCGTGGGAGGGGAGGGGGTGGGGGGGGGGGGGGGGGTTCGAAAGACTTGTGCCTGACCTCTTTTTAACTCTGGTAATGCTATCTTAGGTATATAGTTCAGGGGGAGAGGGGTCTTATTAAGACAGCAATAAGGGGGGGGGTCGTAACCAGCAATCGTGTGCCACACCCCTTGCTTGACCCTGCGAATGTCAGAGAAGTTTGGGAAGCGTGGCCCAAACGGGCAGCACCTGCCGACTCGTCGAGATGGGGAACTGTTGCCCGACTGCCGTGCCCGACATGGCCAAACTTGCCAGATCGGACCATATTCTTCAATAAACAAGAGCCCGGTCACCAGCTTGGCTTCTATATCGCGGGCGCCAGTGCCCGCGCCTGTACGGCCTGTTACCTGTAGGGGAACCCCTTCCTATATAGGAGATTGATAAGATTGATAAATACCGTCCCTGGAATGGGTGAAGGTACAGTCACCGAACCCACTATAGCTTGGCCACAGCGCTTGAAGTCAGGA